CTTGGCTGAGGTCACTAGTAGTGAGGAAAAAGGGAAGTGGGTGATTTTTTGCAACTACCAAGAGGAGAGAGTGGATGTAGTCATGCTAGTCTGAGCTGTTACGTTGGACAAAAAGGATTGAGTGAAGTCCTTTTCAGACAACTTCAGCCATACTTAACGGTACTTCAGCCATATTGCCTTGTAGCATTGTCTTCTGTTAACCTTGAGATGACATGTCTTTGCAAAATACTACTTGGCCTTCATCAGCCAGTTGTGCAGGTTGGTGAATTGGAAAAACGTCTATCTTGCAAAAATTATAATAAGGAGAGAATGTGGCAGTGTCTCACCAGTGTAATAGCGTGTTGCTTGTTCTTCAGTAAGAGAGACACTTAAGCTATGTTAACGGTAGTCTCTGTATTTTTTTGTAGTCAAAATGTATTTAATGGCTTTGGCTTTATGTTTATCCAGCTTTTTGTTCCAAAAACCTTAAAACCAAACTTACCCTTGACATTGTGAAATGTCTGTTATGCCAATTAAGTCTGTTAATCCTCACCAAAGAGATACTTGATTTTTGTCTTGATAGTCTTTTTAAACCTTTATTTTTGCTTCCTGAGCTTGCAAGTAAGGAAGTCATCTATTAAATTAGCCTTGCAAAACTTATTATGGAAATTTATCAGTCCAGATTGTATTCCCATCACATGTTATCATATGAGTATAATTTTAAACTTGTCCCTTAAATTATCATTCACATAACAGGCATGAACACACAGTCTGTGTCTAGCTCTTCCCTGGGATTTTTGCAGATAAACACTGCACATTACAAAGGTGGTGGTTTCTTCTGCCTGAGTTTTCTGTCTTTCTAAACAAGATTTCTTTCCAAGTTACATCTGTTCATTTAACCTCTCCATAGTCTGTGGAACTGGGATGGAGTCTTGGGTTAGGAGTGAGAACTTGCTTGCAGCTGGACGTGCACATCTGGCTCTGGTGGTGCCTTCTGCTGCGGGAGCTGGTAAACGGAGAAGCGCTGCCCTTTTTGGAGACTGCGAGATCACTGGGAGTTGGGCCTTTCTTTGAGCAAACCAAGACTTTTTGGAACATAGAAGAGTACTGTTGCTGAGGGGGGTGGCTGTTACTGAAGCACAGCATCAGTTTGGATGGCAACACTGGCTTTAAAAAGCAAAACCAAAGCGAAAACCCAGCAACCCGGTGGTTCTGGATGTCCCGTGATTGCACTTGACCGCGGCCATCGAAACGTTTTGTGAGTGGCATTCAGAGGCATCTGCGTCATTCCCAAAGTGACAGCAAGTATGCATGTGGCATGAGGAGATCCTAGCTGGAGATTGTGCAGATGTCGGTGTTGGCCAGCAAATACGCACAGGGCTGAAATGGAGTTGTCTGTGGGGAGTGCGTTACAGTGTTCCCTGTAAAGGGCTGTAAAACTGCCGTGGGGGGATAGCCAGCAACATGTAATATCTGATCTTCTACACCGACTGTCCTCAGTGGACCTGATCTCATTTCAGTGATTTCTTTGGCTTTATGGCTTTTTTGAGCAACATCGTGTTTCTCCGTTTCCCTAAAATCTTATCTTAAAACTGGCAAGGGACAGCCCTTGTTGCTGTGTGGTAATGGTGGTTAGTTTACAGGCTGAAATACAGCTGAGATGTGACTTTAAGGAAGGAAAAAATGGGCAAAAAAGTAGTCAGCATGCAGAAAAGCCCAGCTCCTTTAGGTGCTGGATGCAGAGCTTTGTAGAAATGAGGAGTCCTCAGCCACTGCAGCTGGGATGGAGCGAAAGGGTGGGTGCCTGCCCTCGCCAGGGCTGCTGGGTTTGGGGCACAGGAACGGTGACAGGCTGCAGTAGAACTGACAGTCACAGTCCTACCTGAGAGACAAGAGGGTTTCCCAGTGCAGCCAAATGGCTCTGACCAGTTTTGTTGTGGTTTTGGCACTGAAAGCTAATTTTCTGTTCGTATCCTGAAGAATCTGTGATTTTAATCACTGGAGCAAATGTTTCACCATGTATTTGATACAGGTGTTGCAACCATTTGTGGGCAGCAGTTTTGTTTGCTTATTGCACATTTTACTCCTGGTGAAAGTGCCATTCAGTTTTTCAGTATTGGGGTGCGGCAGGATAGCAGAACAGAGATTAAAGATGCCTGAAAACCCATGCTTTTCAGGGAGAGTTTCCAGCAGGGACATGGGCTTCCTGGCACCTTCTAACTTAGTGGCCCTGGGAGTAAACTGCTAGCCGAAGATGAAAGCAATCCTGAGCATCCCTGATGCAGAACACAAGGTATCTCCAGAGCTGTACATATCCTGGGGGCACATACTCTTAGATGTTGTGCATTAAAAAAAGAAAAATAGAGGTCCTTGTGCTGCCAGTGCAGACTTCTGCAGTATTTGTTCGGTGTCATGTGTTTTGCTTTCCTTTAAATTTTGTGTCATGAAGAAGAAAGTGGTTTCTGCTAAGTCACCGGACCTATGAAGAACAACAGTCACTGAACAGTGCCCTTCGGGGTTATGATAAATCCTCCTGACAATTGCACTATAAATACTCATTGTATGTAAACCTGCATCCATTTCAAAGTCTCTTCAGGCTTATCGGAAAGGACTTCAGCAAGGGGTGTGAGCTGTTTGGCAAAGGTAATTGAGGTCCAAACTGACTGTTGCAGATACACTCTGATTCTCAGGTCAATTGAATTCTACTTCTGTCATCAGTTACCACCTCATACAACTTAAGTTTCTGGAACGGGAGAAGCAAACTGATTTTCATTTGTTAAAATTGATCCGTTGTAGGGAGAATTTTTGAATACTTTGTCCGGACAGGATCTTGATTCCTTATCTGTTTTGTGGGATGTTTTTTTGTTGTGATGCTCTCACTGGATATTTTAGGAGTCTTCTGAAGCAATCTGCTAGTTGAACGCTCCTTTTCTGTACAGCAAGATGCAAGTTTCTGTGTCTGCTGTTCACCACATATCAAGAAGTAAATTACGTGGTTGAGCTACCAGGTTAAGGTTGCTGGGAAGAAAAAGAGGAAAAGAGAGATCCCTTTTTGGCACTGTGAGTTATGAAACCTCCTGATCTCTTGCCATTTGGTAGAAGTTCCCTGCTGTTTGCTCTCCCTCTCCCCTCCTGCCTGCTGTGGGGCGCTTCTGCAAGCCTTGCTAGAACCCAGCCCCTTGCTTTCATTTGTGTGACCCATCTGGCCATGCCAGAGTTTCCATTTGTCTCTTGGTAAGATCAGAAGCGGCTATCTGTGCATGATTTTCTGAAGAAAAGTCATATCTTTGACAAATGAGCGCTGCGTCGATGAGAGCTTTATGTAGACACAGATAAATGAGGTTGCAGGGAAAGATTCCTCATGTCCTCTTATCCCTCCCATGTAAATAGTGCAGCATATGGGAAACAGATGAGTGGCCTTTATGTGAGAGTGATAAGGATGATGCTTTTTGACTTTATTAAGGTGTTTGCTTGTTTTGCTGTTTACCTTGTTCTGGGGAAGAGCCTTCTGACTCAGCACCGTAGCTCACCGCTCTTCCTTTAACACAAGGAACATCTTCCCAGCCTCTCCCTTTCAGCAAGAACACCAATTGTTGGCTGTTACCATTGACTCTCTTGCTTATAGGCAAGAATCTGGTCTTGGATGCCCTTTGCTCATTGTAACTAAGTTCTTTGACTGTTTTTCATTTCAATTTCCTTGTAATGATACCACTTAGGAAAGGATGTGTGAGTGACAGGTACTTTCGAAACACATGCCTTGCTAGCAGTCAGGAGGTGAGTCTGTTGAAGCGAGGCGCTGTTCCCCGTGGCGGGTCGATGGGTGGCAGCAGCTCTGGCCCTGCTGCGGAGCATCCCTGGTACCTAGTGGTGCTGGGGGGGGAGCACTGCTGCTGCACCCGCCCCGCCGCCCCCAGCCTGGGCCTGGGGCAGGTGGGCTCTGTCAGGGGGCATCTCCCTTGTCCCCCACGGCCCTGGGGAACAGGAGGTGTTGGCTGTGCTTGTCCCAGCCCCTGCCTTGCCCAGCAGTACCCGTCTTGCCGATGCACCGCACCACGGGTGTGCCAGAGGGGTGTCCTGCCAGGAGCCTCGAAGTGGTTTTGCTGATATGTTAAAAGCAGATTTATGTGTTTGCACAAGCTGCAATACCTGCTGTTTGTTATGGAGCTGGCAAATATTAGCGTTGCTTTTGCGTTGTATTCTTCCCCAGAGCTTTGCTGTACCTGGGCTCGTGAGCGTTGTTGGAGGCAGCTGCGGGTGCTGCCGTGGCTGTGTCCTGGTCCCCTTCAGGTGCCAGCAGTGGAGTGCCAGGGCACCGCCAGGGAGCTGGCCTCCCTTCGGGGTCCTCCCCGCGCTCACCTTGGGGAGCCCCGGCCCCTGCCAGGGTGGCACGTGGTGGTCACTGCCTGGGCTCCAGCAGAACAGGGCGGGGAGGTACAGGGGTAGACTCAGATCATCTGCAGGCTTCTCTGGAAGTCACCGTGTTGCTGCTACCCAGTGGTACGTCCAGTGTTTTGTTCTGAACTGCACAGGTTGCAATTGCATTGCTTTTCTACCTTTTCAGTGGCACTTGGTGTTCCCGTGAGTCCAAGGGCTCGCATTCAAGGTCCTGGTGCATGATCCTTCCACTTAAAACCACCTCTACTTTGCCTTTTCCAAGCTAGGGCTTTATACTGGCTTCTTTTTCTGCTGAGCACACATGGGTGCAGACAAGAACACGAGTCATGCAGCGGGGGGAATCCTGTCAGCTCAACAAGCTCCATTGCCTAATGAGCTCTGTTTCACTTTCCTTCCTTCTCATCTTAGAATATATCTTCTCCTAAAGACTTTAAAACAGCGGGCTTTGTAGACGTGCGTTATTAACTGCCCTTCTGACAGGGCTTTTTATTCTTAATAGCATTTTATTATTAATGGACTTCCATGAAATTTATAGAACTGTTGGTAAGCAAATGTTGGAGTGCATCTGTCTGATCTGTTGGTGAAAACAAAACAAACTCATGGTGCTTCCCCCTTCTTTGTTGCAGCAAACCTTGCCCAGTGATCTCCACTCCATTGAAGAAATTTTGAAGGTAGGTGCTCTTAAATGATAGACCTCTGTGTTTGCTTATATTTTGCACACATTAAAGTAGTGTGGGAGGGCTGTCACTCTGCTTCTGTTCTGTCAGCGGATGTTGCAATCGCTAAAAGTGTGTTTTGGGGTATGCCACGGAGAAGTAAAGTTGAAAGTTAGCTTTGGGTGCAGCTGGAGTTGTAAGACCAGTCTTTCTATCAGTATGTAAGTGCAATATCGTCTGATGCAGTCTAAGAGCAAGACTGACAAGTCATCTGAAAGAGCCAGAGCTGCTCCTTCGTCATGACAGGGGGTTGCCATTACTGAGTACGCTTCCTCCAAAAGTGCTGGACATGCTGCCTCATGTCCGTGCTGCCGGCCCCAGCAGCGTGGCCCTGATCAGGAGCGTGTACCTGCATCCTTCCCACCGGCCTGCGCTGCTGCTGGGCTGCTTCTCCTTCGCTGTATTTCTAGTCCATTCGTGCAAAGCTAAGCCAGCTCTGATACAGAACTGTCTCTGTAACCTTGTGTTAGAGCTGGCTCTGTGAGCGGCACGCAGGTTCCCAGTAGCTGGGTCTGAGTACGTGTCACCCATTCACTGTGCACAGTGTTAAAATGCACTCTGATCTGCAAGCTGGTCATGCTGATACTGAGCAGATAGTTGCTTAATGTCAAATACTATTCTGAGACACTGAAGTCCTAACAGAGGTGTGTTTGGTTTCTGTGAGTCTCTTCCCTTACTGTTGCTTCAGGTTGAAAAAATCCTGATGCCTTTATTGCTCTCAAGAAGCTGCTGGGGCAGCATTTTAGCTGAGAGGTAGTTGTGCACAGGGGCTCACTAGCTGCTGTGTGCTGGTTGGTCTTGCAACGCAAGTACTCTGCCTGGAAGTACTGCATCCTTTTGTGTTTCATGAGACATGCTGTTTTCTTGCCTGTTAGTAATTCATAATAATGTTTTTGCAGCAACCATAGGGAAGCATGCCCAAATATGTGAAGCGATGTAGTGCAGTATATCAAGGAGTTTATCATCTACTGAAAGATTACACAGCTAGGGAGTGGTGAGCAATGAACTGAACAGTGGGAGGAGAGAAAGCAGAAGGCAAGGGTGATAGCAATGCGATCAAATAGTTATCCAGGTTAGTTATAGGCTGCTTCTAGTTCTTGCACGGAAACCCCTGTAGATTGCTCCGACCCCTGCTTATAGAGTCAAAGGTAGCAATGTGGTTCCCTGTAAATCTTTGCATTTCATCTTATAAATAAGGTAATATGAAATGCCTAATAGATAAGGAAACTAGGGGCACTTCTGAACTTTCATATTTGTGCCTTGATGAAAAAAACAGCACTTTTAAATTATGAAACAGTAGAGATTTTTACACTTCAGTCTATTTGGTGCCAAAAGTACAAATATGTACTTTGCACTGACATGTTCCTCATTAATTCCTTCAAAGCCCCTGAGCAAACTGCGTGTGGTACATGCTTGTCATGAGATGCGTTCAGCATGAACATAATTCCTAACTTTCTGAGCTGAGCAAAGTGTCAGTATTGTGTTGCTCTGCATGCTGCTTTCTTTGGGAATTGGCAAGGAACAGTTGTAATGACAACCACTCCACACGGGGGGATGGTGGGTGCACACCTTGAGTACAGAGGTGGTCTTGGGCTGAGGGGGAAATCCTGAGATAAGCATTCCTGGAAAAGGCAATGAGGGTGGCAGGCCATATGAATTCACTTCTTGGAGTGATTGTTACGTTCTTCAAGATTTAAAGCTTGAGGATCAGGAGCCAAGAAAAGTCTGTCTTGTGTGATTTCAACACGGTGGTTTTGAATTTCTGAACCTCAGCTTCCCCAAAGGCCTTGTCTAGATTAACCCCCATTAAAGTATTTTAGCATATGTTCAAGACAAAGATCCTTGTCTCTGCTAGGCTTTTCATGTGTGTTCATTGCAGTGCAAGCCAAGGCTTTAGCATGCCCATCGGGGCCCAGCTGTGGTGCCAGAGGAGGCAGGTTGGAGGTTGATCTTGCCTGCTGAGCCCTATCCCGTGGCCGTGGTGTTTCTCTGCTTTCACCTGGACCATGGCTGAGCTGAAGCAGCTGGTCATCTGGCACCAGGGATCACCTGGCAGTGATGATGGCTGAGAGCAAGGGCGGGGGAGAACAGGGCAGAAGGATTCCTGAAGAAATAGCACATTGGGCAATCTTGTTCTTTGGCTTGAAACTATGTCCTGGAGCTCTGTGTCAGACGTCTTGGTTGGTCAGAGCAAAAGCCAGTGTTTCAGGCAGAATAGCATGGGGAACAGCTGGCAGTCAGAGCTCTCTGGCTGACCTCCTTGAGTTATGAAAAGCCTTTCTGAGTGTTGTTGCTGTAAAGGGATATAAGAACTTCCATAATAGGAAAGTCCTGTGCTTTGAAAAACCCCAGAACTACTCATACACAGGTTTTATTTACTCTTCCCTTTATTAACTGTGATAGCTGTAAGACTGGGGCCTAATCCTGCAAACACAGTAAGTACTTAACTCTCAGTAAGCTTCACTGCGATTGCTGTTACTTGGTCAGTGGAAGAATGCTTGCAGAAAAGGAGTAAGTCCTCACCACGGTCTGGCTGCTGCGCTCAAAGGAGGGCTCCTCGCTGCAGTACCGTCTCTTAGGTTTACGATCGAGTCAACGCAGTCTTTTTCGGTAGATTCATATGAATCTCAAGTGTAAAACTTCACCTGCGTGTATCAGCAAAAATACTGTAAGCCACTTCTCTCAATTTTTTTCCAGGAAATGACCCACTCATGGCCACCTCCCCTGACAGCTATTCATACACCTAGTACAGCAGAGCCCTCCAAATTTCCTTTCCCAACAAAGGTAAAATACCCTCTTTTTGCCAGGGCTTTTGATAAATTAGAAGAGAGCTTCCCAGCTCCTGTATGTGTTTTCATCTAATTTTACCCCTCTTTCATAAATAAAAGCTGTTATGAGAGATTATCTTCGGAAGAAGTCAGATAAATTAAAACACAATGGTTCTCGAGTTGTATTAACGGCTGGTTGCAATGCATTCTTTTACTGAGAACTGGATCAGATTGTGCTTCTGAGTAATCATTTTTGAGTGGGCTATATGGTAGCCTAATTATCTTTCCTCTTTTTACATTTTTTTAAGCAAGCTTTGTATTTTTAAGAGTTGTAAGATGTTTGAGCCAGAGTGGGGGCATGGACGAGTAATATTTCAATGACTTTCATATTTGTTAAACTGTGGGCTTCAAATGTGACTGCTTTTCAGAAACATTTTAAGCATCTCTGTTGCAGCACAAACAACATCTTTATTGTCAATAAAAATATTTGCTGTATTAAACAGAAGTGTTTGGCAGCTCTTGTAAAATTTTTTAAAATATTTCTTCAAAAATGCGCACACCACTAATGTGCTAGCAACACATTTTGAGTGCCAGTAGCATGTATCATTTCCGTCCATGCTAAGCTATATAAGGACAGTTTAGACTATTGGGCACTTCAAAGTCATGCTTTGACAAGTTATTCAAAGTATTTATTACAGTAAATACTACAGTTGGAAAACAAATCACTGATATGCTGCTACTGAGAGAGATGACTTCATTCTCAATTTGCACTTTGTCCTTCCTTTCTAGGAATCACAGCATGTTGAATCTGTAGCACAGGATCAGAGTAAGTAAAAATGCAAAGAAAACACAGTTGTGTGTTTATTGACAGATAGTTTTGTGTGTTATATGTCAAGGAGAACATAAAATGTTTACATTAAGGAGCATGATTTTCTGTGCTTTGTTGAACAGTGATAAATTTAGAAAACACTTAAGAGATTGTGTACATTTATTGCCTAGAAATTAAGGCAGTAGTTCAGCAAAAAAAGAACAGTATTTCTTTAGAAAACCTCATTTGAGTGATGAATAATCTCAATGGTAAACAATTACATCCTAGAAGAAAGTGACTTTCTAATCTGATGTTCAGAGACCTTAAGGTAAAATATGCTACAAGTGAGGCAAATAAAACCAACCGATTCATTTTTGATTTACAGAACAGTATGACACACCTTCAGAAACGTTGCCTAGTTCTCAACCAAGAACATCGTAAGTAACCAGACTCAGTTCCCATCTCTACTGTGCAGTTACTTAAAAAAACCTGGAATTAATTAAAATTCGGGTTACTTCATGATTCTGAAGATTAAGGTTTTATCAGTCTGATTTTTCTCAGAAAATTTCAGTGCAGGGTATTTCCACCAACAGAAACATTACTGATACATTGTTATAATGATTGTGTTAAAACAAAACTGAAGAAGAAAGCCCCAACTATTAATGTACCAGATTGAAGTGGTTTTTTCTCTTTTAATCTGCGGCTACTTCACATCTTGTCACACTTAGTGCTATTCAAACTACTAATAATGCATTCAACTGATATAAATTATAAGGGATACAAACTGGATCTGATCTATTCTGCATATTGTTTTGAAGCCTGTGAGGGCTAGTAAAGCTATAGCTGCAAAAACTGAAAACTAGGGGTGAAATTTTAGAGCAATCATACGGTATAATTTTATGCAACTGCCCAAGGAACTTTTCTTAAAAGTGTTGTCTTAATTTTGTTTTTATTTTAAAAAACAAACAAACAGAAGTAACTTTTCATGTGGACTTTCTAAAAGCTTCAAGTTATATTCTAATAATGTTAGCTAGTTGCAAAGTGGGGTGAAGATGAAATTTCCATAGCTTTTTTTAATAGTATATATATTTTTCTTCTTTTCCCTGTCATGTTATGTTTTCTCTCAGAAGAAAGCTGCTTAGAATTCGAGTCTCAGTATAAGATGTTTCTGTATAGTCACTGCAAAAGTTTTACAAGACTAGTAAGGAGTGCCAACTAATAACTGAATCATTCCGATAGAAAATTTTAGGTTGGTGAATAAAATAGCTTGGTACTGTTCTTGTAGGTGAAAGTGGTTATCTGTTAATTAGCTTAATTACAGAAATTGCTTGAAAGTAGTTTTGTGTGGGTTGACATTAGTCATTCAGGAATAATCTGGCCAGATGGCAGCATTGATAGGTTCTGAGGCCTCGGTAACAAATAGAAATCTTTCCATCCCTGGAAGGCCCGAGGGGTCTGTGTGCAAGGCAGTTGCTGAACCATTAAATGCCTATGTGTTCATGTGAAATACCAAGATCTCTTCTTACTCCATGATATTTTGTTTCATGGAAGGCCACAAACTACAGACTACAAAGCATTACTCCACATGTTTTCCTCTTCCTTATCAACAATTTAATTTAAAAAGCCCAAACAAACAAACAAAACTGGTCTAGTTTCAAGTAAGACGAGGAGCAAATCTCCATCTTGGTTGAGACTGTAGAATTTTGTGCTCAGGCACTGTAAGATCTGTAAACCAAACCTTTTCATACTGTTCCAGCATCATGAAGAGGAGCCCTTGCTGGCTGCGAGTGTGGGGAATAGTCTCTTGCTGAACAATGAACTATTCCCTTAATCCATTCTTTATTTTACCTCGTCTTCTTCCACCCCAGCTTACTCCTCCTGAACGATTTCTGGAAATTTTTACTGCACTATTAAAAATACTAGTTTCAACTGCTCCAGGCTCTGCCTTCCTCCTCAGCTACCCTACAGCCATCATCTTTATTTCAGTTCTTCTCAGCTGCTTGTAAAAATCCCTCTAGCACTTTAGTCAGTTTTACAGGCAACAGAGAGAGAAGAGACTTTTACTGTAGACAAGAATCTCTGAAAATACTCCTTTCTTAGCCCAAAGGTTCGGAATTGTAAATTTGGCACGGTACATAGCTCTGTCCTTAGCCAGCATCCCCTCTCCGCTCAGCATCCTTGCGGGCACTTCAGAACCAGCACTCATCTACCAGGGACATGCGTACCCACAATCGATGGAGGCAGATGAAGCAGGAGGAACAGGGGGCTTTGGTTTAGGTCCAAAATGGAGTCAAGCGAGATTTGCTCGAGGACGACTTCTACATCTTTCCCTTGAACTGATGCATCCCTTCTTTTTTTGTTTTGTTTTTGTTTTCATTTTCACAACAGGGCTTGCTCTCTTTGCTGTTCAAAGTGCACGTGGCTGTCTGAAAATTCAGCTGCCTAGAGTAGCTCGCATTACAAAGTGTAGCTGGCTGAAAACAAACAGCGTTTGTGCTGGTTAATTAGAAGTTGAAATCCCCGTGCATCTGTGTGCCCAAATTAAGCATTCAGCTTTACAGAGCATACAAGGGTTTCCCAGATGGCTTTCATTCTTGAATACAGTACTGAAGTTAGCACCTGGCTGCGCTGGAATGGAAGTAGCCCTTCTTTTAAAAGGGGAGATGCCAAGCTCATTCTTGGTGATGCATCTTTAACCCGGCTGGCAGAGAGGGGCCAGCCTGTGCTTTCAGAGGAGTTGTTTGGCAAGCGATATTAATTTTAGTGCTGCTGCTTTTGCTAAAAGAGCTCTTTTTAAATAGCTTTACAGAGAGATTGACGATGTGTATATAAGCTGAAAATGAACAGGTCCTGCAAATGAAAACTTGGCATCTATCAACTCCTGAGCTAATTAAAGCATTAAAATTATTAAATCAGATTTATTGTCTTTAACTAGGCTATTTAACAATTTGTTGAAACCTTGCTTTGGGGAAAATAGCTTTGTGTATCCTTGCAGAAGTATGACTCATTCAAAGTTTTAGTCATCTTTGTTGATCCGAAATAGAACTTAAGTAGTTGCAATGTTCTTCTGTGGTGATGCGTTTTATTTAGCAGCAGCTCAGGTGAAATGGCAGTCCTTTTTATTACAAACAGTTAAATCAGATTTAGAAGATGATCTAGGTAGTGTTTCCTTGCATAATCCTCTTGCCTCTAAAGGAAATGCATTTGTAGTCCATAATTCTTAAAGCAAAGCAAAACAAAACAAAAAAAAAAAAAAAACAAACACCCTTTTTAGAACTTTTTAGTATCCCTGAAATTTTGTTCATTATCACCTTTGAAGGACTACTTCCCCTAATGGGTTGGAAAAAATATAAAAATAATTCACTGAGATGCTAGTAGATATTTGGCCCAACTGCCCAGAAGAGTGAAGAGTGGCTGTATTGTTGCTGCTATTCTTTTTTCCTTGTTGTGTCCTGGTGGGCTGGCAGTGAGCTTTGGCTCTAGCCCACATGCAGGATGGCTGCAGACTGCATGCCATTTGCCTTCTGCAGGAAATTCAGGGGCCTCATTTTCCAAGGTGGTGTTTCATAGCGTTTTCCTTCAATGTTTCCTCTAAAAGAAGAGGCAAGGGGTGATTTCCACTGAGAAGGTGTGTAAGGAAACGAGGGCGTAGAGTCTGGGAGGTGGAGGAGGAAGAGGATAGTCAAATGGCAAAGTCAAAATGCCTGAGCAAAGAAAGCATGTAGGTCTTCTGAGTGTAGTCAGGCAGAGTCCTTGAGCGCTGAGAACCTCTGCTACAGCAGTGAGAGGTACTCAGGGACTGTGGGGTCAGTACCTGGGGGGGGGGGGGCTTGGCTTTTTACTGTAACGCAGGAGATCTTAACGCTTTCTTCATGTTGTCCTGCTCCATGAGCAAGAGCAGATTCGTCACTTCTGGTTTGTGGAATTGTTGTTTGTTGTGAGACTGTGGCCAGCTTCAGCAGCAAGCATAGGCCTATTTCAATGAAAGTATCTTCATGCATGCCAGCTGCTTTGGTAAGAGTGTGAAATAACTTCCCTAGTTAGTAGGGATAGTGTTTAAATAGGGGAATCAGGTTTTTTTTATTCAAGGTTTTTACTTCTTTGTTGTCATGGAATCATAAAAGCAAACTGCTCAGGGTCATTAGAGGTGACCCACCGAGCTGTAAATCTTTTTCGCTTTGTTCATAATTTGACATGAAGGCTTGAAAGAGTGTGAAGGTTTGTGTAGTTTTTCTGACAAGCGTCGGGAACAGTAACTCCCTGCTTTTCCAACGTGATGTGGTTCACTAGGGATCTTTCATATTTCTTTTCTTGCTATGAAATGTGTTGTTATTAGGGCTTGGAGGCTTATTTTTCTTATTTGGGCATGAGAAGAATTTTTCGGAGAGCCCTTAGTTTGCAAAGAGTTTTGACCTGATTGATTAAAATCCTTTTCTCAGTTCCCAAGCTTTTTATCCCATTTTTGGAATGAGACTTGTGTAATTCTCTGGGTTGAGGAGTTGGTCTCCAGTTAACTTCAAGATTTGACTCGCTATACTTTTGAATAGCAAGAGTTTTGCCTGTCTGTTTTCCAACTCCTTTTGGGATGCCTGCATGCTTGCCAAAGACTCTGATAACAATCTGGAAGTATTTTGGGTCGCTCCCCGCCAATGCTTCCCTTCCAGCCTTTTGAGAACCTCTGCAATGCATTGAAATTGCAAGCAGTAGTTACCGCTTGCAGGTAGAGGAGTAAATTACACTTTTGGAAATGTGTGCAGGCAGCCTGCTCTCTGCTCTAACAGTAGTAAAACAGGGTTTGTGCCTCCCCGCTTGTAGCTCCTTTTGAGAATCTGAACTGCTCAGTGTTACAGTTACTGCCGAGATGTGCAGGAGCATGAAGTTCATTGTGTAGAGGAGAATTAGGAGACAGGCTTGACCTTGGCGTTTACCTATGTATGTGTGATAGGAGACTTCCGCAGCAAAAAGAGAACCCTGGTGAGAGAAGAAATATTCGCAGCCCCTGAGAGCGGAAGGCATGAACATGCACAGCTTCTGGTGCAAAGACAATGCTTTCTGCCCCTTGGGGAGCCAGTGCAGGCTAATAGCATGCTAGTCTCTTGCTGTACAAGGATCAGACTTGTTCCACCCTGCCCTGCTGTGTGAGTGTGCTAGGTAACCTGTGTTGAGGAGCATTCTCACAGAACTTTGTTGTCTGTAGATGGTAGCCAGTGATACTGATCTCCACTGCAAAATGTCCTGAAATCAGTTGGAAAGCACAGTAAAATGCCTAGGTTGTGTGTTATCATTTTGTCATTCATTTGGGTAATGATAAGGTTTGTAGTAGTAGATTGATCTCAATCAATAGTAGGCTGAGCGTGCCAAATGTTCAGAGAGGATGCGGGAGGTTGGTTTGTTTTAGCAAGTGCAAACCAAGTCTTTTTCAGTGTCTGCTGCTTGAAAATGTGTCTTCCTTGGCTGATATTTATCTTCTGATTGTCTTTCAGAACGCTCCAGGACGACCTGCAGCTCAGTGATAGTGAAGAGAGTGGTGACGACCAAGTCAGTTTTAGCTGTTTTATACACTAGGCACACAGACATCCCTTTAAATCATCACGACTTGTTGCCTTGTTCTGTGTTCCTTAAGCTAATCTTTACTCCTCTTTGTTTTTGTGAACAAAACAGGTTGTTGAAAAGCCACCTTCTTCACTCCCTCCTCCAAGGTACAGGTTTGTTCCCAAACTACTAGCTAGACCAAATAAGGAGGAAAAACAAAACTACTTTTCATATGTGGGGTAGATGGGTAAGGGTTCCTGGGTTCTCTTGTAGATACAGGCTTTGGTTTCTACCTGCCTGAAGCTGCTGTTGAAAATTGGCTTTAGTTGTGTGGAGTTTTACAGAAAGCTCTAATTAGAAATGATTAGTCCAGACATGCTGGATTTTGCCTATGAACCAGAATTGTACTTCCCCAACTGTTCCTTTCTTTTCTGCTCTTCCCTTCTCTGAGCATATATGGAGGTGACACGGGAGCTAATGGGATTTTCAGTTGCTGTAGTTGATAGGTGAGTGTGAGTTCAGTTTTAGTTCAGAAGGAAGCCCAAAACAGCCAAGCAGATGAAGAACAGAAAAAGGTTAGGTAAACTCACTGAGGCTCTTTCAGCTCCTTCTGATAAGGCAGCTGATTGTAAGCAGTTCCTTGCCTTGTATTGTTGGTCTGAAGCAATATTCAAGGTAGACTGAACAGCTGTGTGCCAACATTGGAGAAAGAAAGTTGGAGAAGCCCATAATTTTTCCTGTAGGAGAGCACTGACATACATTTTTGGCTTGATATTTATATTCTTCAAGCACAGGGTAATGGTCTGCAAAGTCATACTTGCAGAAGGGCACGCCAGTTCTTGGCATGAACTGCATCTCTGCAAGCTCTTGAAATAGAGTGTTCTCACAATATCAGTCAAATACAAATATATCAATACAAATATCAATACAAATGTGTTGATAGTGATGTTGGAAATAGTTTTTAAAGTAAAAAAAAAAAAAAAAAGAACATTTTTGATTTTTTAAGCTCATTTCAAAATAAAAAGAAGACGTGCATAGAAGTCATGACTCTCCCTCAGTTCCATCTACTTCCATTGTCAGTGCTGGAGGAAAACAGTTTTGAGTCGGGGAGGGTGTTGCAGAATATGCTGCTGCTTGACGTGGCTGTTAATGGAATGGTTATAGCACCTTAACCAAGTAACACATAGGAAGAAGTGAAAACTTACGGGAGAGAGTGAAAAAAAGAGGAACCATCCTGGAATGTATGTTTGTCTCGTATTGGAAATTTTTCTTTTGAGAGTTGGGGCTTTCAGAAGAACACTCAATGGTTTCAGTTGTTTTTTAAGATTTGGTTAGCTAAACGTAGCTTCATACTGTAGCAGTGATGTCCTGCTTAGGTGCTTGTCTGACCTGGGTTGGAGTTGAAGATTTTTTTTATTTCCAGGGTTTTGTTTTTTTTTATTCCGGTGCTTTTATCTTTTCATTATGACAGTGCACTACTTTGGCCTTCTCCCCTCTCAGTGCCAAAACACGGGTTTTCAGTTTTATTTTTGAATCCTGCCATGTCAATATAATAAGTAAGTAACCTTCATCCATGCTGCTTTCTAATTTTATCTCATGGTGGCCTTGCAGTGCCCTACAATCCCAGCCCAAGAGTGTGGCATCAGCACATTCCAGCAGCCTGGAGTCAGGGAGCACCAGTGACTCAGACAGCTCTTCAGACTCCGAGACGGAGAGCAACTCGAGTGACAGTGAAGCAAACGACCCTCCGAGAGCATCAGCACCTGAGGTGAATGCAAATAAAATGTAGGGGCTGCTTAATACAGCCCCTTGCCTCAGCGTGTCTGCTGACTGAATGCAATCAGGACAGGAGACTTGAAATACCATCGCTGTTCGGGTGTCCCCTTGACATCTTTGCTGCATCATCAGACTTGTGTTGCCCTTTGCTTCCCTTATAGAGTTTGTCAATTAAATAACCCTTAGTAGCAGCATAATTAGACTTTTACGTGCCTAACCTTGAAGTGTTCCCCCCTTCTCCTTTGGCATCGTTGTCCAGCACTTCTTGGAGGAATTAGTGCCTTCACTTGCGAGCCACAAGCAAGGCACAGATGAGAAGCACAGCTTGTCTGGAGTGTTTGGGGCCCACTTCTACCCGTGCAGCTTTTCTGGGTGCCAAGGCTATGGGCTGCTTCAGGGTGAGACCAGTTTCCTGATAAGTTAGGAGGAGCCACTGCCTCCCTGCAGCTGCTGTGTGTGAGTGGCAGACTCAGCTTCTCCCAGATCGCAGCTGAAGTGAACAGACCTGCAGAAAGGGCTGGAATGTGCTTAGACTTGTTTCTGCTGAATTTGGCTCAGATAGTGCTGCACTGGCATTTCTGAGGCTTTTATTGGGAAAAGCAGACAGAACTTGGTGCCTTAAAGTTTCATAATTGAGACCGTGCATTTTTTAAAAATCTGCTGCAGAAGTGCTCATGTCTCATGGTTTCAAACAGTTCCTCCAGCTTGCAAAACCTTCTCAGGCCAGTGGGAAGGGCGTGGTTATATCCTATGGACCACAGCTGGTGTTAACCAACCTGCTGACAGTTTTGTTGTACTCTCTCACAAAGCCCAGAAACCTTGTAATGTATTTCTCCCTGCCTCTCCCAGCCCTAGCTTCCCTTTCTTTTACCTTAGAAGCATATCAACAGAGAATTGTATGTGCAGAAAAGAAGCTTTGAGAAGGCATATCTTCTCATCTCACATCACGTTACCCTCCAGCAGTTCAGTTATAGACTTTGCCCTCTGCAGTGTTGGGTGTCTTTGGAAGGAAACAGATGTTATGCTTTTCTTCTTTTACCAAATCCTGCCTGGTTTGTCCTGAAAATGCTGGATTGTAACATCATTCTCACTCTACTGAAGTCCTAGCTGTATGTCATTGACCATTTTATCCTTTTTTATTCAGCAAACTGTTCATCCATGGTCCTCAAGGAGCAAGTTCGTGCATGTGGCCCGTTTGTTTATAGTCAGCTCGTCACCTGCAAAAGCACAGACTTTAAGACCTATAGGCAATGGTTCTATCCTTTGTGTTTGGAAAAGCTAATGAAAACATGTAGGACAGTGTAGATCACAAAGAAGATAACCAGTGGCTAGGAGGGCTAGAAAAGGATCAGAGTATGCCACTGTCTGATATCTACCTGCATTGTAAACTGAAGTTTACTAAGCCTTTTGGCCACATCTTTATAGTGTTTGACCAAAAAAAAAATGCTCTTCAGTGGCTACTTATTTCTAATGAAAATAAAGTAGATTTGTGTTAGCTGAAAAGTATAATGGAATTTGTGGTTTAATTTTACTTACAAACCCATGGTAAAATCAAACTCTGTTTTTTAAACCAGATTTCTAGATTGACTCGCTCAAACACAGTTGAAGACATGTCTTGTTTATCCACATGTTCTGTAGCGAGTTGAGTCTGGGTAGAGAAGAAATCACAGCAGAAGGGGGATTCATTAGTCTTGGAAAACCTTTCATGTCCTAGGCTTTCTCTTTTCGGGGAAGAGTTGTGGCTCTTCTCAGAAGTGAGAGTTGTGAGTGGGGAGAATTGGTGTGGGCGGGAGTGTAGCTGTGCTCTGATGGTGCCCAAATAGTGAGCTACACAATTTTGAGTGATGCTGACATACATGTGATATTCTCAGAACAGACCCCAGAGGGTCATACCCCTGATTTGCAGCTTCTGTTGTCTGTTTTTAGGGTTAGTTGGGTTTGCTTTTCTCATAAATTGTCAGACTGCTGTGAGATTAGGGAGGGCTTGTAGCAACCACGTTATGTTATCTGACCGTGACTCGAGAGGCCTTCAGACCTCAGTCATTGCTCGTGCCTTGCTTGACCCAGAGGGAAGTGAGTTTGGGGTTATGTAGGGAGAGGACTCAGAAGAGGCTGGACCTGATGTGCTAGCCATGCAATGTCTTTTGGTTAAACCACAGGAGACTGACAACCTACCTGCCAGACTTCAGTGAGATGTGATAGCCGGCACAGCTCCTTGTCCATTTTGAAAGCAATGCTGTGTGCAAATAGCTTTCTAAAAGTGTTGTGAGGACAGCACCTAATCTGTTTTTACAATTGCTACTTGGTTTATGTTGTCTGATTGTGGAACAACGTTGGTTAGTGGTAAAGAAAGATGAAACTTATGTGCACCGGTCTCTTACGGAGTGACAGGTAGGACTAGCAGAGATCCAGGAGTGCTGTGCAACCCATTTGATCTTGTGCAAAAACAAGGTCTGTGTTTCTGAAGTAAGTGTTGATGGGCACACACTAGAGCATCCCCACTGCCTCATGGTCTTTCACTTTCAAGCTCTTTTAATGGTAAGGGGAAATTTTACTGGGTTCTGGTAAGCTGTGCTAGAATGGAAATAGCTCATAATGGCATCAGTCTTGCATCCTTCCTTTCTCCTTTTGTCTGCAGCCCGACCCACCAACTTCTAATAAATGGCAGCTCGACAACTGGCTAACCAAGGTGAACCCACCAGCAGTGCCAACAGAGAGTCTCAGCGAAGTTGCCCATGGGGAGGATGGACATGAGGAGAGCAAGGAGCAGGAGGAGGGCGTCAGCAGCAACTCCTCTCACCAGCACGCTGAGCTGAGGGAGCCCCATCACAAGAGCTCCAGCCAAGCAGCCAGGTCTCCTCAGGATGCTCATCTTCCGACCGAACACAACTGCCAGAAGTCTCCTGTGCATGGCCAGGAGCCCTCGCCCAGACAGACTGTGGGTATCAAAAGGCCCAGCAAGGCCCCAGTGCAAGAGGGGCCCAAGGAGGGCCTGAAGGTGGAGAGTGACCCTGGACCTTTTGAGGTCAGAGACCAGTCTTCCAGAGACAAGCCAAAAGTCAAAACGAAAGGGAAGCCAAAATCCAGTGACAAGAAAGACCTGAAGCCGGCACTGCAAGAACCCTCTGAGAACAGAAAGCACAAGAGCTCCCACCAGGCCAACGCCAAACCCTTCTTGGACCCCAAGCTCATGAGAGATGTTTTGCTTGGCAGTGCCCAGGAGCATCTCGCTCTCAATCCCCTTCCTCAAGGCCAGGGCCCACCCCCCACCAGGACTAGTGGCCACAGGCCTGCCGTCGTGGCCAGAGAGGATTTTCACAAGGAGAAACCTCCCTTGCCTGTCAGGGAGAAGTTGCTCTCATCAGTGAAGGACTCCCCCGCCCCTCGGTCCCTTGTGGTGAAAATAGATCTCCCTCTCTTGTCAAGAGTCCCCCAGCCCCCTGGGAAAGGCAATGACCAGAAGAGAGCAGAGGCCAAGGAACTCCCTGGTGCAGGGAAGCAGGACTCGGAGAAGAAAACCACAGACATTCCTGATCAGTCCCTACAAAAGAGGAAGGTGAGAGAGGTGGAGGTGGAGGTGGGTTTGTACAAGGACCAAGGTGGTGTTTGAAAGACCCATGTGTAGAGTTCATTTCTGCTTCACAGGCTGGGAGTGGATCCGTTATTACACTTCTCCTATAAAGGTGTTATCAAACTTCTAAAGGGAATGTGTATCAAAACTGTCCACAGATGTTTCTTGTTGGTCCCAAATCCCCTGCTGAGCAAATGAAAAGCCCTGTAAGATAACAAATGCTTTGGTGTTTTAAAACATTTTTTGATATGTTTTCTTGGAACATTAGTTTTCTCAGACAACAGAACCCCAGCCCTCCTATGTCGGAGGAGCTTTCGGCTGTTTCAGCACGTGGCTGGCCAGCCCCCTGGTAGTATCTGTGGGCTTCTCCAGCTTTTAACCAAAGCAGAGCTTTGTAGGACTGAGGTGCCCCTTCTCCCTGCAGCCCCTTTAAAAGCAGCACGGTATCCAAAGCACCTCCCAGACTGCAGTTACCTGCGCCATCCATTTAATGTCTGTTGTGAGAGAGCACCTTGCCTACAGTTTGTGGGGGTCCCTAGGCGTAGAACCAACCCAGGCCGCTCCCATCTCTGTATTTTGGTTTTGTCCATATATGCATTTGCACTTTCTGCTGCCTTTAGCCGTGCAACCTCAGTCTGAGTAGTGTAGTCTTTTCCTGTGTGAAGCAATTTATTTCCATGAAACAGTTGTGATTTGCTTGCTTACTCAAAGATGAACAAATTCTGCAGGTACGGACTGTGTTATGACTAGGGGTTATAACAGCAGCCCCGTGCCTTTTGCTTTTCCATAAATGCAGACTTTGAACTGAACCAGGTTCACTGATGGTAACAACCATCACTAACCCCTGCTTTGGATCTCAGCTCTTGGATAAACATGTAGAAAATGTCATTGGTTGTCCCTGGAGTTGCTGTGGTGCTACCTGCAATGATAATGCTTAAAAGATGCATGTGTCCAGTAAGGGGCTTTCCAGAGACCCCTTTGCAGAGCCCTTCAGCTACGATAGTTGCTTTTCCTTGAGTTACAAGACAGTCCTTCAGCTGAGGTGGTAGTTGCTCACAAGTGTTTTTTGGAAAGCTGACTCCCAAAGGGGACTGTGAAAATACTTCCAGACAGTTGGTTCAGCTGCACAAAGAGTTGGCTGCAGACCTTATGGTGAGTAGATAGTCACTGTGGATATTTCAGTGTCTGTATATCTTTTTGATTCTTCCTACAGAACAGGTGGCTTAGTATGTGTGGGTGAATAACCTCGGTTCCCACATGGTTTTCATTTAGTCTTGCAGTTTTCTGAACTTCCCATAGCTGTGGGGGAGAATTGAGAAGAGCAGGGAAATGATGACAAAACTCGGGAGACCCCAGCAGTCCCCCTTCTGTAGAGCAGCAGGAGAAAGGTAAACAGGCAGTAAATCTGTCGCCTCTCCTGTTGTCTCAGAGACCCAAGAGAGGAGCTGTTTGGTGTTAGACATGTCTTCCCTTGCAGTTTGAGCGTCTAATTGCAGAAAAACTCCCCTTAGAGCCTTGCTGTCTGTATTAAGTCAGCATGCATCAGTGCCCTTGGGGACTTGGGCTTCAGCGTAGCCAGCTAGGTCAGGTACAGCTGTCGGACATCTTTTGCGGCAATGTGGAGCTCAACCTGAGAAACAACGTAAGGACATGATCTAGGTGCTGGAGCCTTGCCCTGAGCACGCTGCCAGGGTGTGACTCTGTGCCAAGCACAACCCACGGAGCTCCATCAGGGTGACATAAGCCTGGGTGTACTCTTGGGAGGGAGACAGAAAGTTGTGGCGTGCTTTTGGCTACCACCAGGCACACTATGGGTAACGCTGACTGATAAGTGCAGTTTCTTTCACGCTTTCTTGGCTTGTAGCAAATTATTCTGAAGTTTTTCGTTCAGGTGAGCTGATGATTTGCACACTTTGTGTTTTAAAATCTATGGAGTGCAATTAAAAAGTATTATTTATTACCTCTCTGCCTTAAAAGTTCTTGTTCTTCTGGAAGACAATGGCAGCAATGTTAACTGACTCTAAAATTTCACCTATATCAGATTCTTGTTAAGAAAACCAAAACCCCCTGCACATCTGGGAAATCTGAGTGATCGAACTCTCCTGTGACTGCAGGGGTTTTTTTTTCCTTCCCTTTGATAAGGCATATCACAAAACACAATTGCTTGTCGTTCATGACTTTGCCAGGAGGAAAATGAATATGTTTCTGTATGATTCATACTGAGTTAGGAGAAAAAAGTTCATCCAGAACAGATGAAATGCTTATTTTCAGCAATGGAAGTGCCTTCATTTTTATTACTATTAGCAACAAGAGGTTTAGCAGTTCCATCCCTGCCACTACAAAATAAATAATCTAGCTAAGCAGAAGTAGACAAAATGTAATTTTAGGATATTTATCAGTGAGCCTGAAATCTCTATCTGCTGTGCTCTGGGTTTTCACCTTGTCAATTCCAATGTTTTGTCTTGTCTTTTTTTTTTTTTTTAACCAGAATTAATCAAGCTTAGCTGTGTTGGTCTGTATTTTACATGAACTGTTAAAATCTGAATATTTTATTTTTTTCTTTTTCCTTCCTGTTAGAGGGAAGTGGAGGAGATCGATAGGAAGAAAATTAAATCAGAAAAAGAAAAATCATTGCAGTCTTCAGCTAACAAAGACTCCAATAAATTGAAGTGAGTATGCAGTGGTGGGATAACAGAAAGATGCATAAAACTGAGTCTTTCTTAAAAAGGTTAAGGCAAGGAACTGTATCTCCTGTCCTTATACTCGTGAGTTTGCTTATAACATAATGTGCCTTCTGAAACTTAATCTGCTGCAGATTTGTCTTTACATCCTGGAACCAAGCACGTGGCCATGGGAATGTAATTTAGTTGCCTTTTTATTTGTTACAGATGTGAAGTGATACTTGGGTGTCACCTATCTTCCTCTCCCTTCTTATTGCTGAGGATTATGATTCTAATCAAGCATTAAACTGATGTTTCAGTGGCTGATTGTCCTCCCAGACTTAGTTTATACCAAGTTTATGCAAAAGCATTGAGCGTTGTAGCATTTGTCCTGATTTCCAACAATTGAGATGGGAATGAAGACTTCACAATTTTAAACACAAATTTGTCCATCCTGCAGCCTATGTTGCTGCACGCTCTGATCCATGTATTATATGTAGCTCAAAAAATTCTGTTTATGCTACAAGAAATTTAATTGTCAGTTGTGCCCGTACTACATTTCCTTCTAAACTAGTAGGCGGTGATTTGCACTGCTGTCTTTCAGACCAGATGCAGGAAATAAATCAGTGCAAAAAAAAAAAAAAAATTGTATGTTGTTTGTGTTGCAAACAGTGCAGTAGACTGCCTTGCCTGCTGGGATGCAGGAGTTGTTTGCCCTTCTCCAAACTACAGTGGTGGTAATCTGTCAGCAGGTGATTGCCCAAAATGATCTGGGAGGTGGCAGCTGTTCTGTGGCGAGTAGTGTTGGCTTGTTCTCCATGATAGTTTAGGGACTTCGGGGGATGGCAAGAAAAATTGACAGTTGAAGATGTCTGCTCATTGCAGGGGGGTTGGACTAGATGACATTTAAAGGTCCCTTGCAACCCCAACTATTCTATGATTCTAGGTAAGACTTGAGAGTTCAGATATCCATTATTTCTGTTTTCATGAGAAATAGAACTAGCCTTAAAGTGCTTTTAAAAAGGAAGTTGGCCTGTGTGATCTTTAAAGGTAGCTTCTAACCTAAACCATTCTGTGAGTCTATGAACTTCTTTGCCCATGTCTTCCTCATTCTGGGTTCTGCTGTCATACTTATTTTGGAGAAGTTTGTACTCTCACTGCATTGGAAGCAGCAGAAAGCTTTTTTTATCGGATTTCATGACACTTCACTTGCGTTTAAAGCTCCTAGTCTTTGTAAGGTGAGAAGATGATATGAACACGTTTTGCACATGGAGAAACTGAGGTGCAGACAAATTAAGTTGCTTGCTCAGACTCCTGCTGCAAACAGGTGAATAGCTGAAAGTGTGGCCCAGAAGCTGTGACTCTCATTTCTGTGACTGAGCAATTACGTCCACAGCAGAGAGAGTTCTGGCAGCCTCTTGGGAAAGGGTGTTGTACTAAGTGTAACTGGATATCCATAAATTTTGACTTGGTGATCATTGCCATTTTCTTAATTGGACAGGTTATGATGCAGAAAAGCCAGATGTTAATGCTGATACTGTCTGCTCCCTCCACTGCTTTTGCTGTCACCGGTTACAGACTTTGAGTAGCACTTGCCGGCTGGCTGCCGGTGCACATGGTGCCTGTGCTAGGTGGGACCTACCTTCATAGGCCTGTGCTAGGTGGGACCTATCTCCCAGCTGAGAGCACAGAGGGGGATGTGGTGGGTATTGCAGAGCTCGGTTTTCTCACCTCGCCTCTGGGTGAGACTGCTGAATTGGGGTGTTCCAGAAGCATGTGGATATGCAGCTCCCCCTTTCTCTAACCAAACCAAGATGCTGCAGTGCCAATAGGCTTTTCACTGTGACCGGCCTAAACTTCTATCGGGGTGAAACGTGCGAAGCCCAGTCCAGAAAGCAGATTTTTATGTATCGGTGAATAGGGAGCATTTCCCTTCTCCACTAAAATAATCTTGTTGTCTTTTGTCATTTTTGTTTGTGATCTAACAGACACACAACCACTGTGCCTTTTGAATCATGACTCTGGAATTTCAGGTGGCCTTTATGGCCAGGAATTTCTCATTTATTCCAGCATAGTATTTGCAGTCCTTCTGGTACATCTGCTGAAACTTACCCCATAATTTGCATACCAGTGTGCTGCCAGCATTTTGGCTAGGTCTTTGCTAGAGCGAATGCTTCTAAGAGCATGTCTTCAAATGGGCAGTGTTTTTGAGAGGGGAGGGTTGTGCATCAGTCAGGGGCTACTGAATTCAATTCCTGCTTGCTTGTGGCTTGAATTTGAGGTATTGGCTTGGGTTGATATGTAGCATTGAGGTCTGTGTCCTGACAATACGAGTAAACTGCTTTTCTGCAGAGAAAACATTAACGTACTCTTAGAGCACTGAGAAATTGAGGCTAACATTTCCTGGGTAAAGGGATATATCAGCTGTGGTAATAATGGAAGGGCTTTAATTTGGGGGTTGGTTCCTCCCTTTTTCTCAGTGAAAACAAGCACCCCTTTTAGCTATATTCATACTTCTGGAGTGGGAAGCATAGGATGCGTTTCTGGGAAGAGAGGGCTCTGCATCAGGTCCGGGGATGCTGCTGTGCTCTGTGCACTCCCCTCCCGAGCATCAGCTGCACCCGGGGAGTGAAGCTGGGGAGCATGTGTGCGGTGAGTAGGGACTGCAGCATGGGAGGAGTGCGTGGTGGAAGAGGGGAGAGGACTGCCCCAGGCACAGCAGAACAAAGCGAGATGTGCGATGTCACGATTCAGTCTTCTCACTCAGTTTAGCTTGATTTCCTCTTCTTCTGATGTTGCAATCCATGAGTTAGGATTCACTGTCCAGTGTTTTCTTGGAAACTTTGAGAAGCTGAATAAAAATGATGTGAATGAGCAGTAGTGAAACAAGGTTTAGAGCTATTTAGTGTTGCTTAGAATTGCCAGAGTTCCCTGGTAATCCTAACTTCAGATGATCAGAAATCTCCTATGCCACTGTGTTATTGCACGTGATAGTCTCTGCCATTTAAAAGAACCGCATCTGAAGTCTCTCTCACTTGAGTCCTCCCAACTTTGTAAGTGTTGTCTAGTTCAGCTGGCAAGTCTTAAAGGAACAACTCAGTTTAATTCTGTCAAAGCACGTACAGGATCAAGTGTCAGGGTGAGTACCTCTGGCCACAGAAGATACCTTATACCATAACGGGGAGAGAGGCAGTGCTGCAGTTCATTTTCCTTGTTGGGTGATTTGTCCCAGGGATTTTAGTTGCTGTATTTAGTAATAAGTCGCTCTCCCGCTTTCAGTGAAAAAGGACTGTGTTGCAGGGATGCCTTTTTTGCAACATCTTGATATTCTGGTTGCAAGTCTTTACTCCAAGGACAAGTCCTAAGGCTTATTCCTAGTTGAAAAGCAGCTTGTTTCTACGTTGTTGGCAGCTGAAGATGTGGTATCTAATGCACGATGAAGTCCCTGAAGTTGCATTTTGCTTTTGTTGGGTTCTTCATGTTAACGAGTTATCTCACACCTCCAGAGATATCTAAACAGAATTGGTACATGATGTAACTAAGTTCTAAAAAATTCCCTACATTATATGCACACCATATTCATCCTAATTGCTCAATTCGCTTCCCGTCTCCAGAGCATCAAAAGCTTCATCTGAAACTCAGAAGAAAGATCTCCTGCTACCCCCACCACTGCCACGCATGTCTCCTGCAGATCCTTCACCAAAGTCAACCAAGATGGCCCAAAAGAGACCCAGAAGTGAGAGCGGTGAGCCACCTGCCGTGGATAACACTGCCAAGAACAAAAGCAACCACAAGAGTCCTTTGTTCTCCAAGCACAAGAAAGAGGAGGAAAATCACGCTGAACTGTCAAAGGGCATCAAAGTAGGTATCCATTGTAACTGGTGGGACGTTTCCTGCGGTGCGTGGGTGCTGTGTGATTCTCTTTGGAAACATGCTCTGCGGATATTAGAAAGGAAGGAAGATAAACCAGCCACCAGAGAAAGCTTTTTGAAGCATTTTTACCCCTTTATTGGATATCTGTGACAGTATGTTGCTAGCCCAAAAGCCTGCATTGTAACTTCTCTGCTGATTTCTGTCATCTGTTTTCATCTCAGCAGTGAAACGTAGTGAGAAGGGGTGACCATGTGAAAACCAAAGGCAAGAGAATCATGTTTATGGTGGTAGCTATTTCTGACTGTAGGCAACTGCGAGTACAATATCGGTGTAAAAATAAGCATGTTTACAAAAAGAAAGAGTTGACTGCTTAAAAATCAGAAACAAGCAACCTGTGTTTTTGACTGCAACCTGGATATAAGGTTTTATAGCTTGCTTACAAAATTGTTAATGATCCTTGCAGCTGGATCTTTGCATTTTTGGGTTATAAAATTCAATTACATTGCTGTTCATGGGTGTTTGGGTATGTGTGGTCTAGGATGTTGTCGTGTGTGTATGTGTTAAGCCAGACCCTGCACGCTGTATTAGCTAGCTTCTAACCGCTTGCTTTTTCCCAATAATGTAGTTAGTAACGGAGAATCAACAATTGCAGTGTAGTTAAGCTGGAAATAAGTGTGAATGGATATTACCCATTCCTGCCTTGGCTAGTGACCATGAAAAATGTGCTGCTTGCAGCTTTACCTCTATCTTAGCCATTGTGCAAGGAAACCTGCTACTTAATTTCCCTATGGCCGGGAAAAGTTTGAATGGTATTAAGCCTTACTAACAGTCAGGTAAGAAGCCAAGTTTCCATTTCTATTATTGGCGGGGGTGCTGGGGAAGAAAGTGAGAAGAGGGAGAGAGCTTGGAGAATAGACTATGCCTGGGACAAATAAACATTTTCTCTTGAAATTTAGGAAAGCCGGGCTTTGGAATTGGTTTAGGCATATCTCTCTAACCAGCTTCATCTCCACTCTGTGGTTTTTCAGGGATCTACAGGGGACGTCACAAATCCTTTCCCAGTGCCTTCTTTGCCAAATGGTACCTCCAAGCCAAGGAGACCTCAACTCAAGGTTGAAAAGTAAGTTTTTGTTTTACAACCCTCATCTGTACTTTCTGAAGACACCAGGCAAGGCTGGTCCTTCAACAACCCTGACTTCTGCTTCTTAATGACCACTTCTTTGGGAGGAGAGATGGAAAGATGTTCGAGCCCTGCCCTGTACTTCCTTCTCGTGTCTGGGACTTATCCACCCCACCAAAAAGCAAAGGTCTCATTGCAACAGTTCTTGGTTTGGGGGAAGCTACTCTAGAAATTAGGTACCACTTAACTCTGAGAGGAGGTGGCTCTTGTGCCTACCTACAAGTGATGGGGTTTGATTTGTCTGATATTTGACAGGTGGCAAACTCCTCTGTGACAAGGTGCTGGGTAGACAACTGATGTTTTCTGGGAGACCATGACTCTACTTGCTTGTTTTGTTAGTGCACAGGTGGCTGTGTGCTATTTGCATGGTGAATAGATTATCCCAGTACACAGAAATATGCGTGGTTGAACGTTAGCATTGTTTGTGTTGATTGAGACCAAGACCTTTAGAAGCCTTGATGACCATATCTCTTAAGCAGATAACTTGAATGCAAGCTCTTTTGGTCTGAGATGAGTGCATGGTACTGCAAAGTTGACTCTATGTTTCAATCAAAGTGTATTTGTGATACTGTCCTCGAGGAATGATAGGAGGTGACATAACTACTATCTTTCCGTGGGAGCAAATAAGTAAACCTGGCCTCCCAGTAGCCTAGCCTCCAGTGTTTTTTTTATTTCAGAATGTAAGTTGTCAATGATATTCTAACATACATGTTTAAAGAAATCAGTTAATTTTATCTGTGCGTTCAGCCACTGTGTATTTCTGATCAAGCAGACAATATTTATTTAGTGACTGTTACAATTGTAACATGTTTTTGATAAGGCTGTAACAGGCTTACCAAAACAGGATGTTTGGACTCGTATCATGTTCTAGATATGAAGGCAAAATTGATAATTATCCTACCCTTTTTCTCTGTTTTTTGTTTTTCCTCTCTGTCCCCAATTCAGGCAGCATTCAATAGAATACTACATAGAAGAGGCCAAGAGGCTGAAGCACAAAGCTGATGCGATGGTAAGTCTCGGCCCTGTGGCAGAAATGCTAACCAGCTCTTGCATTCAGACCTAATACCTGCGTGCATGTGAATAAGGTTCACTGGTTAATGTTACTTCCATACTCCGTACTTGGAGTATGTTCAAGTCGTGTGTGGGGAGGCTGTCTTTATTTGCCAAATGTTCAGACGTTTCCCTTTGTTATAATCACATCTAGAGAATATGCCTAGAGAATAGGATTCAGAACTGGCGTTGTCTGAGGTTAGCAGGCCTGTTTGCTTTGCAGAGCTATCACAAAGTCCTCGGGAGATAGGCAGAGCAGTTAGTTATAAGACAGTTTACTCTGAAACGTCAGGATCCTTACGGTAATTGTGTTGCGGGTGAGCAAGACTTGAAAGTGCCCTTTGCAGATGTAACTGGCTTTCTCCACTATGTGCAGTTTAACAGCGTGCCTGAATGAATGTATTTTTTTGCTAATTATGGTTCAGTCAGGTAATGTGCATTTGCTACTTGCCATTTACCTGTGAAAATGAAGTGAGGGAATACTGCAGTGGGAAAGCTCCCTCTGCCTGTCACGAGGCAGGCCTCCAAGACCAGACAATAATATCCAAAAACTCTGAAGATGATCAGTTACTTAAGGAAACATGGAGGAAGAGACACAGATAGTTAGAGCACACAAAGCTGATGACTGGGACCACATTAGGGGTTCTGCTGAGAACCCTTAAATTATCACCCAGAGGCCTGACTTGCATCTTTCTCTTTCTTCAAATCCTGCCTGACTAGGGAGAAAAAAGGAATTTGGGTATACTTGAGAGAAGTAGTTTTTGTCTTAGTCTAAAAATGAGAATTTTCTTCCCAATAGACCGACAAGACTGGAAAGGCCTTTCAGTACCTAGATGCTGCCCTTTCCTTTATTGAATATGGGATTGCCTTGGAATCGGATGCACCAGCACCAAAATCAGCTTACAGCATATTCAGCGACACCATAGATCTCATCAAGTAAGTGGTTTTCAAGGTGTGATGGTTAGGCAGCATGTTTGGAGTGGAGGGGTTAGTCGCACTGCTTGTTTGCACCTGTGGTAGCTCTGGATTCCCCCCATGGAGCAGAGTTCGGGTTGCTGTACGAGCATGAGACGGAGACCATCGAGAGGCACCAGAGACGAATCCTTTGAAATGTTTCAGCATTGCTTATCAGAAGTAGGCACCACGTCCTATTTGACACTTGAGCTGAGGTGCCCCAGAGGACACTGGTTACAACAGTTAAGGACATGGAGTTACTAGTTTATCCAGATCTGAAGTTGTTTTTGCCTGTCAGCTCAGTAGTATTTCAGTTAAAAAAAGCAAAGCAACAGTTATTGCGTGTGGGAGAACAGTTTGTGCCCCAAAAGTTCTGCAGCTTGATTGAAGACAGATTTTACTGGTTTCTCCCATGTGTCTTTCTACCAGTATACTTTATTGGGGTTTCTTTTAGCAAACTTCCCCGCTTAGTTTCACAGCCATAGTAGATCTGTGTAGATAGGATGACTTATACAGGCAGCGCAACCCAAGGAACCATGTACTGGATAGAGGAGAGACATGTATCAGTTTATTCATATTGAAATTACTGGTTATGTGAGTGTTTTCATAGAGCTGATTTAAATTCTTGCCTTAGAGCTGAAACAGCTGTCACGATTATTTTTTTTTTTGTGGTAGACTTCAAATTTTTTCAATTACATTGTTTGCTTTCTGGTCTTGGTGGACTGTATTTCCAAGATGCTGTTGTTGCTTTGTTTTCAAAAAGTAGATTTGCTTGTTTTTTGAGCAAAGAAACGTTTCTACTAAGATGTTGGTGTCGTGGTTTGAGCCTGGTCAGCAGCCAAACACCACGCAGCCGCTCACTCCTCCCTTCTCTCCCAACAATGAGAAGGGACAAATGAGCCAGGCTTTGGCGTTCGAGATAGGAACGGGAGGGGAAGATCACCCATTATCGTCAAAAAGCAGACTCGTTAGGGGAAGAAAAAAAGAACATACGTTTATTACAGACACTAACAACAACACGTAACAGAGTAGGACAGTGAGAAGCATTGCCACATCTTGAGAACACCTTCCCCCCACCCCTCCCTTCTTCCCGGGCTCAGTTCTGCTCCCGATATCTCTACCTCCTCCCCCAGTGGCGCAGGGGCAGGGAATGGGGGGTGCAGTCAGTGCTGCTGCTGCTGCCATCTTCAGTGGGGGGAACTTCTGGAACTTCCCCTCTGCTCCAGCGTGGTCCCCCTCTCACAGGACACAGTCCTTCACAAACCCTCTCTGACGTGAGTCCCTCCCACGGGCCGCAGTGTTCCCCACACTGCTCTGTCATGGGTCACCAACTTTCTCCAACTGGATTCCCTCCCACGGCTGCAGCCCTTCCCGAGCTGCTCTGGCGTGGGACACCCCCGCATGCTGCAATCCTCCCAGCGCTGAATTACAGCAGTGGGGGCTACCCTTTCCCACAAGACCCCGACCTTCTTCGGGCACAGAACCTTGATTAACCAGGTGAAAAACACAGGCCATAAATCAGTGTCTGCTCCACCACAGATCTCCATGGGTGGCAGGGGGGGCCGCCCTGCCGTCTCCCCACAGGATACAGGGGGGTCTCTGCTCCGGCACACCTCCCCCCTCCTTTCTTCCTCCGTTCCTCCACTGACCTTGGTGTTCATGCAGCTGCAGCAACTCCTCCTCACCAGTCCCACTGCTCATCACCACGTCCCTTCTTAAATACGTTATCGCAGAGGTGCAGCCGATTGGCTCAATTTCCCAAACAGAAGTGGAGCTGACTTGGAGCTGGGGGAGCTTTGAGAAACTTCTCACCGGGGGCCACCCCTTTAGCCCCCTCCCCTGCTAACAAAAAATCCCACCACTCACTCAAACCCAGGACATGCCACCCCTCGCCTCTGTGAATCACGTATTTAAGAACTATCATGAGATCCAACATTGACTACAGAAGATAGTATACACATCAACATCAGAACAAAGAGAAAACAAAACCCAACTGAAACAGGAAAAAAAAAAATTCCCCCCACCAAAATAAAAATAACATTGACAAAATACTGAGACACAATACACAAAATCCACCCCTGGTCCCTTCACCACACCAGAAAAAAAACTTCCCCACCATTACAACTACAGAAATTCTAAAGATCATTCCACGAACAGAGTTCAGTCTGTATTTTGCTCATTACCTCTCCCAATTAATATCCTTATCAAATCACATCCCTCAAGCCCCACGTTGGGTGCCAAAAAGGACTGTTGTGGTTTGAGCCCGATCAGCAGCCAACCACCCCGCAGCCGCTCACCCACCCTCCCCCCCGACCTGGGAACGGGAGGGGTAAAGGGAGACTCGCAGGATGAGATAGAAACAGTTTAATAACGGTAATAAAATGAAAACAATGACAGCAATAGAAAATATAAACGGGCAATGCACAATGCAATTGCTGACCACCCGCTGACCAACACCCAGCCCGTTCCCGGCCAGCGATCCCGAAATACCAAGATCCTGCAATCACAATCCTGGAAGCGAGAGAGAACCCCCCCATACCAGCTGCCCCTCCTCTATACAGTGAGCACGATGTTCCATACTATGTAATATTTCATTGGCCAACTTGGGTCTGGTGCTCTGGCCCTGCTCCCTCCCTGCTGCTTGTGTACGGGCAGGACACGGGGAGTTGGAGACTCCTTGAAATCTCAGCAGCAGCTGAAAACATCAGTGTGCTCTCAGCATTCTTCTCATACCAAACCCAATGCTGAATCTAAGACACAGCACTATTCTAGTTACCAAAAAGGAACATTAACTCTATTCCAGCCCAAGCCAGGACAATCGGTCTTGTCTGGAAATACTTGAATTGATATTTCATCTTCAGTAGCCAGGGGCACGTCTGGGCCCCAGGCCTATAGGTGGTCCATGGGGGGCATCTACTTATAGGGATGTTGCCAATTAATCAGAGTTAGAGGAGAGTGAGTCACATAAGGGACCACATCTGTTCCTCTGCATTGAGAACAAGGCATTTTGAGACATAGACCTCTGCTCAAGACCATCCAAAGCACTTGCTGCCAGGATTTAGAACTAAGGGCAGATCTCCTGACTTTTTGAACTGGTGTTTGAGATAATGGCATGCACTGATTTTTCGTAAACACTGGGACTTCAGAGCACTGATGGCTGACAAGATTCTGTTTATTTTGTTTCCTTAGATTCGTCATGACATTAAAATCCTTTACGGACTCCTCAGCATCTTCACATGAAAAAACCTTTGCTGTGTTATGGTGCGTAACTGTTCTTCCGTGCCTTCATCTTCTGGTTTTGGACTTGATAGAGTGAAGACCTATTACTTTCAGGGGTGAAGGAAGGAGTTAAATGGGAATTGGAGGTCTGCAAGGGAAAAAAAATCCAAAACAATATAAAAACTAGATTGAACTGGGACAGCTCTAAAGTGGGCTGGGATATCACAAGGGACCACATGTGGAAGGCGCAGGCTCTAAAATTTGATCTGCTGGTAACTTGAGAGTGCAGAGGGCTTTCACCTAAGGTGAAAGAATGCAATTTGGCTGCCCGAGTTTGAGCCCTGTAACTGAAGCTGTAGCTGAACATAGCTAAGACACTGCTGGGTGGGGGCTTTCTCAGCCCATGCCACCTATAAGAGTTGGGGCACATGTTTATGTAAAGGACCAGACACGGCCCTTTCTTTTTTGTGGTTTTTTTTTTTTTCCATTTGTGTTTTTTTTTTTTTTTTACAGTCTTTTTTTTAGGATGAGAAGGAGGAGGAGCAATTTTGAGCTTTCTTGACTCTGCAGTACAGCTGATGTGTGCCTGCCTTTGTCCCGCAAGGCTGATGGCTGCTGAGCAGTCAGCAGTGAGCGTGAACACTGACGCTTGTGTGTGTTTCTGTTCACAGCATGCGCTGCCAGTCCATTCTGCACATGGCAATGTTCCGTTACAAAAAAGACACTGCAATGAAGTATTCCAGGATCCTGAATGACCACTTCAAGGTAGGGCATGCGTATTACTAGGCTGCCAGCTGGATGGCTGCAGTAGTTACTGATGTCAGCTGAATAGCCCAAACCTAACAAGAGTTCTGTTCCTTGCTGCAGAGTTCTTCCAGAGTTACACAAGCACCTTCTCCATGTGTTGCAAGGTGAGATTTAATGTTGTAATGTTTCCATAAGGGTGTGAGTGAAAACAGTAGCTGGAGTTGCAAGCTGCATTTGAGAGTGCCTCACCACTTGTTCTTTCTTGCCACCTGAAATCATACTGTTAGGGGCATGAGTATTTCTGCTCTCTCTTCCCTGTCTTTTCTCATTGGAAAGGGGTGGGGTTTTTATGTTACGAGGTCCAGAGTTACCACGTATCAAGCAGAGCAGTTCTCCACCAGAGAAGCAAGGAAGGTATTGTCACTATGCTCTCTCAGGGCCCCTGTTGTTGTCGTCATCTGTTAGACATCCCTTGAGATTTAATGGGATACCATCCCCATCTCCCTAGCAACTGCCCAGTAGGATTATGCCTTCACCTTGTAGTAGCATAACTTCAATATTTTTCTCTTTAGCTCGGTCACCAATTAAGCAAAAGAAACTAATTTTCTCATTTTTGGATTGTTGAGCATTTTGTCCTTTCTGTGTATCCGCAGCAGCGGTGTTGTGTATGTGGCAGCAAAAGTAAAAGGCAGGCTGTCACGTAGCAGTGTTTGACCCGATGCCCAGCAGACTGGGCCTGTGTTTTAATGACAGTGAGTAAGAAAGAGTTTTTCTTTGTGCTGTGGTAATTGCATTTGGCAGACAGCTACCCAGCTCCATGTCTGTCCCTTTTAAACTCTGTGGTTGAGAAAGGGTTGTTTGGTCTTTAACAGTGATGCTGAAATTCCAGTAATTTTTCTGCCACCTTGCACAGTACAGTTTATTGGGAAGTAAATGGTCTCCCAAGAGCAGCGGTGGAATCCCTGTCGTATCAGTGACTAAAATTAGGTTGGTTGAAGTGGTGGGGGGTGAAGTGATGCGATGAAGCCAGCCTGGGTCTGGGAGGCGGGCAGCTGACTGTATTTAGCTTTCCTAGGTCTATAAATAAGTGTGTGTAGGCTGACCTGGCTGCTTTGCCTAGCTGTCAGAAAGCTCCAGCCTCCGTAGGTGGGGAGCTTCAGCATGCCTGAAATGGAAGTTGTCTGGAAAAAAAAAACATTTAGATAATCTGGTGAAGGCTCCCACAAGTAGGTGTAGGTTTTGGAAGGTGGGTGGGTGACCCTTTCTGATGCATTTTCTATTGTCAAGAGGAGTCTGTAGAGTCACAAATCACTTCAAAAACCTTGGCCTTGCACTCGAAGGACAATTACTTGTTACGTAGTTGAACACAGCTCAGTTTTTAACACTCCCTGCTGCAGGCCTGGATGATACCGAATAGCTCTGGGCATAAGATAGTCTTGTGGCCAGCCTTTTAACTCTGAAGTTAAACGCTTGTGATGGTGTTTCTTTCTCCTGCAGAAGCACAGGCATGCCTTCTCCTCTCTCTCCAATGCCCTCTCCTGCCAATTCTGTGAGTTCTCAGCCAGGATCGAATGCTAGCAACTGCAGTGGCAACAGCATTGGCTCTTCAGTCACTGTCCCTTGTAATATCCCAAACATCACCTCTTCCTACGTCAACATCACTTCCTATATCCTCTATGCCTATGATATTTGGGAAAAGGCTGATGCACTGGCCAGGAAGAATAAGGGTAAGTTTTTGCCCTCTGGCTTTCTGGTCTTATGCGTTGTGGTTATGTGTATGTACTTGCTTAAACCCTAACACTCAGTGTAGCAAACACCATACCTAAAGATCAAAGCATGAAATCTGTTGAAACAGCTATGACACATTGGCGGAGATACTTGATGGTGATATATCAATGAGTGTTCCAATTAAAAGATTGTCTTGGCATCCTCAGATATCTTAAGAGGTAAGGGACAAGGGTATCAAGTGCAGGAAAGCAGCCAACTTGCTTCATGGTAACACAAGAAGCGTAAGGGGTTTTTTGCTGTTTGTTTTCCCTTTGGGGCGCTTAGCTTTTTCTGAGTTGGTTCACTTTCTTTAAAAACAGCATTTTTGGCCTGTAGCCATGTGTTTTAGTTGGTTTGTCAAACTTCCAGGTATTTTTGTCTTGAAAACGGTGAAGCTGGCTTCTCTCTGTAACAGAGAAGCTGAGCAGCTCTTGAATTGGAGTCCTTGCTGGGTATGTGACCAGTATTTGCCAGCAGCATTTCCTGAAATTGCTGCTGCTTCTTTATTTTCTAGTTTTGTTGTTAAAAACGTTGTGTTCTCCTGTGGTACAAGCAGTGGTGAATAAGCAAAAGCCCTGGAGTGGGTACAGTTCAGTCTGTAACCTTCCAGCCCACGTGGCATTTCCAGTATCACTTCTCATAAAGCACAAAGTTTTGTGAGCTACTGTGGGTGAAAGGATGTGTTGCCACCATCTGTTGACAAACTTGCAAAAGAAAATAAGCACGACATGCCTGGCTGAATTGTTGGAAGGCTGTAAAAATACTCACACTGAGGCAGTTGATGAAATTCCAGAGGCTTTATAAGTCACCTTTGAATAAATTAATGCCAGTTGTTGGGTGTCCTCTTAGCAAATCTGTGCTTGCAGCAGCAATTCCTGTGTAGTATTTTGGATTATATCCTCAAAAGGCCGATAAAAGACCATCACACAGATGGAGCAGTGGATGCTGCTGGTAAGCCACAGGAGTGAGTCATGGAGGAAAACCTGTTGGAGGGCAGCCTGAGCACAGTCTTGCATCAGTCAAGACTAAATTCAAAACCTGCTCTCTGTTGCTGTTTTAATGTAGGGGAATGATGAGTGGAGTAGTGAATACTCCCAAGGGAATGGATCTGTGCAGGAGAAATGTAAATACTCATGTGGACTTGGCAGTTGTTGTAACTGTTCAGGATGGTGGAGGAGTTTCAGAGCTGGAACTTGTTGATAGCGTAATGTATAGACACTAAGAGGTACAGAGAGTGGGTACATAAAACTGGAAAAAAAAAAAAAAGCCACATCCTTGATTGTTTTATGCAATTCATAGGGTGTTAGAAGAAGAGGAAAGAGCAGTGGCCTTCAGCTACCAAGTTCCCTTAAACAGAGAAGTCGTGAGTCAGTGGAAAGCAATTAGTTGTAACTGATGTTCGAGTCACTTGTGCAGAGCTGAAGTGCTTTCTGGTGGGTCCACAACTAGGTGCTTCCAGCGCAGGACCCAGCTCCTTGCCGTAATTCAGAGCGGTGTCGTGGATCGTGAGGCTGCAACAGGTTGTTTTCCAGCCTCTGATCTCCCACAGCGAGGACAAGCTGAGTTTCTGTGCGTACACGTGAAGTCTCTCTCCTTCCACACGGTGCTGTGGTCACAGATCAGATTATCTTCCGTTTGCTCAGGCAACTTCTGGACTCCTTGTCTCTGCTTGCAGCTCTTCCGTTCCCCGTGGAGGGAATGGATACCCATTTTGCAAACAAAAGCAGGAAAATCAGGGGATATGTGCTCTCTGCTTCCGAAGAGTTCCTTGCACAGCCAAACAGAAATTTTCAGCCCCCAGGTTCAATCTTCACGTGTAGAAAAAGGAGAGCTGAGAATGGCTAGCTTCTGAAAAGGTACTTGGCAACACAATCGAGGTTGGAGGAACTGTGAGGGCCTGGGATGAGACTGTGTCACAGGAAGGCAGGTCATGCAAGAATGTCTTGGAAAGGTGACTGGAAAGGAATTAGGTGTGATAATTTCCCGTAACTCGCTGTCACGTGCACAGACGACCGCTGGCACAGAGCAGGGCGTGCAGCCTGCCGCCAGCTCCCGCCAGGGTCAGATACCCTGCAGGGGCCGTCTCTTGCCCGGGCGGGAGGAGGAGCCCGGTGCCTGGGGTTGGCAGCAGGATAGAGGAGGACTCTGTTAAATCCGCCTGCCGTGCCCGGCTCTGAGCAACCCAAATCAGAGCTGTATAGCCTGGCAAGCCGTACAAATTTTTAAACCTGTTCAGCTGAGAAATCGTGTCTCCAGGGTTGGAGGACGGATGAAGGAAAGGGACCGGTCCGGTGACCAGCTGTGTGTGCTTCCAGCCATCGCTCAGACAGACATCAGCTTTGGCCTGTTTAAAATCGGGGGGGAGCACGCAGTGGGGACTGGGGTGCGAACACCCAATCCTTTGCCCACCTACCGCGGAGTCCCGATGTGCCTCTGAAGCCGGAGCTCGGGGAGGCGGCTGGGGTGTGTGTGCGTGTGGGCGTGCGTGCTCCTGCTTGTGTGCTTGTTACCCTTCCCAGCCGCCTGGTACCGCTGAGCTCTCGGCATTAACGATGTGTTTAACGGGACTTGCCGACTGACAGCGTGCTGCTGCTGTCGCTCCTTGCTGCCCCCTCGCCTGTCGGATGTGCCTGTTGTCTGAAACCAACCAAATGTTTTCTCTCTCCCTCCCCTTTTTCCAGAGTTTTTTGCTGAACTCAGCACAGCGACGTGCGCTCTGGCACTGAACAGTAGCATGGCCGAACTGGTACACTACACTAGACAGGGTTTACAGTGGCTGAGACTGGAAACAAATACGCCTTAACTGGTGCTCAAGGTGGTTAAGTACCTTGAACTTTTTTGCACTTTTGAAGCCTCAGAAACAGTCTGACTTGTTGAATGGATAAAAATTGGATAAAAAGCACCTGCAAGGGAAGATAAATTGAGGTGGGAGGAATCTGGTTACACTGGAAAAACTTTGAATTGTGTTTTTAGGGCAGTGCTTTGCTGCCTTATAAAAAAAGAGACGGAGGAAAGCCTCAGTATCAATGGCACCTTCCTTTAAAACGACAAGAAGTGCAATGAATTGTCTGAATGGCTCAGTGTATTGATGGTCTATAAACATTTCTATTATGAATAACCAGCAGGACAATAATCACACATGAAGAAGTGCCGACAAGAAGGAAATACGCCTCCAGAGGTTATTGTGCAACACCCCACAGTCTGCAACAGTTGTGTGCCGAGATGTCCAAGAAGTGTTTTTGCAAGCACGGATGCAATCTTTGGTGTCTTTGTTCCTCAGATGGCAAGTAGCAACCTCATCAGCACCGAACAGCGTTACGTTACAATAAAAACAGCAAAGTGGTCTGCCTCGCCTGCTTTCCAACCTCACCTTCTTGCATTTATCAGCCAGCTGCTCTCCTGAGAATTGGGGGAAGCCTCTGCCTTCAGTGCTGCAAGTTCACTTTTTAAGTCGTTGCTGCTTTGGTGGTCCTCCTTGCCACGCACACACATGCCCTTAGCACTTGAACTGTTTACTTAGGGTCTTGGTCGGTTTAAGCCTTGCAAGCCAAACACAGTTGGGGCGGCAAAATGACCAGGTGTGGTTGGAAACAGCTCTGCCTGTCTTTTGTGGTGGAGGGATGTCACTCACACCGAGGGCTCCTTGTCCGGTTGCTTTTTGTTGTTTCAGTGAGTTGGGGGGTGGGCGGCTGTACTGTGTCGCTGTGATTGCTTGGACATTTCCGAGTCTGAGAGCATACGTGGGGAGGAGTTGCTTCTGTTTAAGGAGGGACTAAGTGGCTGAATGTGGAACATAGGACAAATTTTGCATTTGGATATTCGCCTGCAACCACTGCTGGTCTTGGTGAATATCTGAGAGCAGGATTTGGTGCCAAAGTAGGGCATCCGTCGCGTGGGAGGTAATTCATGTGCTCTTTCTCAACCAAACTGCAGGATGAGCCCAGCAACTTAGAAATCTGTCAAGGGAACACGAAAGGGAATAATTAGCTGTTCACAAGCATTTTTTCCTTGTCAGGAGCTGCGTTTTTGAAATTGTGATTTTGCAGGTGACAGTAACAGTGAAGGCAGCATCTGCAGCATTCGTGTATTCAATAAGATGACACCTTTCTCTACCCAAAGATTTCCTGTTGTGTGACAGCAGCGTCCTGCCGTCCTCGTATCCAGTAGTGTGCCTTATCCCTCTGGTCCCCCCTCGCGTCCCTTGCCCTGTCTCTGACAGACCCCTGGGAGTGGCGGAGAGAAGGATGGTACCCCGGAATAATTGTGCTTACAGGAAAGAATTGGCTCGCTTTTCCACATAATTTCAGGAAGGAGGAACAGCTCTGCACGCGTGCAGCGGCACCCCCCTTTGTAAAATACCTACTCATAGTTTTGAGGTTCACGAAAATGGACAGGAAATAAATATCAGCAAAAGGTCTGTATTTCCAAAAGCGGTTTCCGCAGAAATGGCCCCCGCCACGAGGAAGCCTGGAGTCATCTTGGCTCTGGGAGGGGCGGGCGGGAGCTTGCTGTGGGCTCTGCCCTCCTCCCGAGCGCAGGGGAGCTCTCCTCTCGCCTCCCCTGGCAGCGCGGGACTGCCAGGGGCCTGGCTGGGTCTTCCCGTACCTTCAAGGGACTGTTCTTTTATGTTTGATTTATTAAAAGCCTTAGTGCATTTCAGGGATAAGCTGTCCTAACCGGTGGAAGGAAGGTCCGTGTCCCGGGCTCCCCTTTCTACCCGCCAGACTTCACCTGTGCTTCTCCCCTAGGTCAGGGACAGAGGCGCTCAGCATTAACCGTTTCGTTCTCAGGAAGCATGGGGATGGCCAGCCGGCCTGAAGGCTCGACGTGAGCTTTGGGGCTCAATTCCAGACTAGTGGGTTGATGCCGCCTTCTGACTTTGTCTTCAAACAAAGCTATTTTTAGGATCACCAGCTGAGGAGGAGAAAGGAAGGAAGAAAGCTTTCTTGAACCGAACCTGAAAACCGCAGTGGGAGGCTGCAAGAACCGTGGCAGAGCGTTAGGGGTAGGCGTGAGGTGAAGCAGGGACACGGGTCCCCCTGGTACTTTTAATTCTGTGCGCACCCCTCTCCCTCCCTGCTGCCAGGCCAGGGTCCCGTGGGCGAGCCGCTTGCTCCCAGCTTGCCCGCTCTGGGGGCAGGGCAGGGCGAGGGGCTGCCCCTGTCCTGCATCCAGCGCGGTCCAGCCCCCGGGCGCACCAGGTCCCGTCCCCGCCTGCCCTTTGGGCGCTTTGCTGCCCAGACGGTGATCAGCTGTTGCCCTGCTCCTAGGAGAGCTCCCGCAAAGGGCGTCAGGCGAGCGAAGTCGGTAAGACGACGCCCAGTGAAGGCGGATGAACTTCTGGCATTTGGTGCTTTACAGCCGGGGAAAGGCAGCGCGTGTTCTGCGGTCGTGCGAGGGCAGCTCCCGCGCTCAGGGCAAACTCCCACGGGCTTCGGAACGAGGTCACGGGCAGTTCATGTCGCAGGCGTGTGAGGGTCTGTGTGGGGGCTCGGTGGAAGCATCAGTACCAAGCGACGTAGCAGAAAGCTATGTTTGGTTTCAGGTCGTGGAGAAGACTGTTTAAATAATAGGTAATATTTAAAAAGCCATCGTGTTTCAACCTTGAGCCAGGTCAGAGACCTGCAGAGGGTTAGGAAAGATGCTCGTTGTTTTCACTTGGGCCTGTTCAGGCCTTTTAAAAAAAAAAAAAAAAAAAAAAAAACAAAAAACAAAAAAAAACAAGCCACAAAAAAACTCAAACCAAAACATAACAGTGGAGGAAATAGCATTTGCCATTAGGAAACAAAACCATGAATCCAAGAAAAAAGAAACAGAGGTGATGGTTGAGTGCCAGGAGAGGAGGTGGCAAAGCAGCATCATTTCCATGCAATATTTATTTAGAAGAAATAATACATGTCGAAATTGTCAAATGTTCTATTTTTAGGATGCCGTTTATTTAATAGCTGAAACCCCCACTTCAGTGGGGGCAGAGATCTCTTCTGTAACTGAAAGTCACAAGTCTGGCTGCAATGTCCTTGTTTTCAGTTTTGTCGTCTCCCCTCCCTCTCGGTTCCCCTTATAAATCTGTACATCTTAAACTTATTTTGGGAATGTATGTCCCTCTTGTAAATAACTTTTGCTGCCCTGTGTGTGATGGAATTTCCGAGATGGTTGATTCATTCATATGGGGAAATAAACAATAAATGAAGTAGCCTGTTTGTTATGAGTTGTTGCAAGAGTCCTCGTGTCCTCAGCTGCCTGTAGAGAAATTGTAGTTTGCCTTTTCTCTCTGAATGCTCTTAGTGTTTCCCTTCTGAATGAGGTTTTAAGTATGAATTTCTGTGCAAGAAGTCTGTTTCAATTGCTCTCCTGTTTATCACCCCTTGCCCTTTCCTTCAGGAACAAGAACGGGTGCAAATCTAGATGCTCGGAGTGGCAGGAGGGTCACAACTCAGGACATCAGCCTCCTGGCCCCCCCGAAACGGCTGCGGGGAAGGTTGTGCTGGGGTGACCCGCCGAGGGCCACCAGAGCCTGGCTCTGAGCGCCCACTGACGGGGGAGATCCCGGGAGTTGGTTTCATGCGGTTGAGCAAGGTAAACAGCACGGAGACAAGGCCCAGGGCCGGCGCCTGAAGCGCGCTGCTCTGCCTTTGTCACAGAAGGTGCTGCAGGGCCGGGCGCTGGGAGGAGGCTCTGCTCAGGGCTGGGCCATGGATGTGTTTCTGAAGTGCTGCCAGGGGGATTTCCCTCAGGGAATCCCACAGGGTTTCCTTCTCCGAGCTTCTTCTCGTTGCTTGTGCCGGGTGATCCCTTTGCTATGGCCTCGCGCTTCTTGACCGAGACTCTTCCCGCTTTTTGTTTTATGTCTGGCAATGTCCCTGCTCCTTGGAAGAATGATTTTTGCATCTCTCCATGCACTATTGTGATATAATTCGTGTGAATAATTCAGGTCTTTTCTGCAACAGGCATTTGCACCTAAGATGTTTGCTAATAATAGATACGGTTTTCTAATGTATTTTTGCAAATTGTAGAGGTTACTGAAACCTGTTTTAATAACCACTACATGTGTTGCTGTTACAGATGTTGTGTATAGAAATGCACGCTTTTTTCGGGTCAGTGCACTTTTTCACTGCACTCTTAAAATCCCAGTGGCAAAATTGGTGTGGACATAGGAATGAAAGGAAGAAATATCTACTTAGTCAAAAAAATGTCCCCAGACAAGCATCTGGTGGGATTTTTAGCTACAGACTAGAGACGAGGAACTTGGTGGTGCCTTTGGTCAGGCAAGGTGGGACTGGGACTCGGTTCACTGCCATCAGTTGGGGTTTTCAAATGGCACGAAACCAAGTCAGCCCCAAGCTGATTGCCAGATGCACGGAGGGTGAGAAGAGCACATGGGAAGATAGCTTGTGGTTGTGGCCATTAATATCTGGATTAAGCATCTGTGTATTTTTTTGTTCTGGTTTCGGTGGGATGTGAGGGATAGTTGGACGTGAGCTGTCCTGTCTGCTGGCCAGGCTGGAGCTGCTTTCCCTGGCTCCTTTGCATCCTCTGTCCCACCATCTCCTTCCCCCTCGCACCCCAAGAGGTATGTTTCCCACGTTTCTTGCCTGGGGCAAAAGCAAGGAGGGTTAGTTTTGGAGGTGGGATGGAGATGGGGAGTGGAAGGGGTGCAGAGGAAGGAGGTGTGATGTGCCAGGGAGGGAGAAGGGGGAGCAGGAGATGGTGGGGCTGCAGCAGGCATTGGCCGCCCTGCTCAGCTTTCTGCCCAGGGCAGCGGCTCCCCTTGGCTAAAACAGCCAAAAAAAAAAAAAAAAAAATTGGGATTGTTTTCCAATAATATTTTGTTGTTGTTTTTTGTTTATTTATTGAGCCTTTATTGACCAAGCCTAACTTGGCAACTGTGTTTAATTTATTTCGAGATTTGCTATCCATTATAGATGACCCCGCTTCCTCTCTTTGGCTTGGCTTATCCTTTCCAAAGACAAATGTTATTTTTGGCAAAACAGCTGCATATTAAAGTAGCCTGCAGTTTCTCAGCCCTACGCTGCTCTCCAAATGCTAAGACAGCCCATTGGCAGCCTGTGCTCTTTTTATATTAATTGCACTTTTAGTAACCCCTGTCACTACCCAAAACCAATAGTGTTCCTGGGCCATCATCCGTGTTTCTGAACGTGTTTCCGTAAACTCTGTGTTCCTGCAACGAGGACTTGTGCATGTTACAACGGCAGCATGCAGTCGCTGCTCTTTTGCAATGTGTTTTGTCAAGGTACAGAGTTCCTGGAATTTCTGACAGGTTTTCCTCCTCTACTGCTCAGTATAGCTGAGGTTAAGGTTTTCTTTGGGTCCAGTGTTTCATATCACAGCAGTACAGCAATGCTGTCCACTTTGGTTGAGCCAGCAAAACGGCATCCCAGCCAATAGCTTTTTTTTTTTTTTTTTTTCCTGTTCTCTTTCCATATTTGAAGGCACATATCAGCCCGTATGTGATCTGTGGCGGCTGAAAGGTATTTCTGAAAGTTGCTCCAACCTGTGCAACTTTTTGCTTGTTACGCGTGAGGTGCAGCAGGCTCTGAACTTGCCCAGGAGCTCGGAGAAGAGCTAGTTAGGATTCGGGGTTGGTCTTTTTGCTTTGTCTTGTTTTTCCAGAGGGCCCTGGGAAACGGGGTTGAGCAAGCCGCGATCTGCAATCTGCAGAGCAGGGCAGAAGCTGAGGTTTTCACGGGTGGCGTTGTCTTTGCAACGTGCATGCATACGGTGGTGCCGTGGGAGGGCTCACGTCATCAGGCTCCCAGGCGGCACGGGAGCTGTGGCACGCTGGGCAGACCGCTGCCTGTCTGTTCAGCTGCTGACCTCCCTGTCCTTGCATTTCTAGGTCATTTCTGTGGGATTTTTATTTCAACCGTTATCATATGGGGTTGGGGATTTTTTTTTTTTTTTCACCTCGCTTTACTCATCATCTTGGAGCGTAAATGAAATCTGCGATTCTCGGTGAAAATGTCCTTAAAAAGTAATTGGCAGGTTTCCTGAACGTGGAACCCTGGTCTTAAACCTGTTAAATGGTCCTTGTCCTGTGGGGAGTGACACTCCAGTCCTCCCTCTCACAGCAGCTCTTCACGTGCTGGGACACAGGAGTGGCCTGGATGCAGGAGAGGTGCAACGTCTTAGAGCCCCGTGGAGAAATGAGGATGCCCAACCTCTCGCAAAATGGTCTTCAGTGGGAAAAGATGTGCAAATAAGTGAGGGGAGGAGACTGCTGCGTTCGGCTTCAGCACTGAATCCGCACTCTGACGCTTCTGTGAATTGGAACTACCTGCCTTTTACAGTCTTTTTCAAAGACAAAAATCGGATCTGTGATACAGCTTAAAAAAAAAAAAAAAGTAAAAAAAAAAAAGTCTCTCCAAAGAAATGGTGCCACAGATCTTTTGTTTTTGTATTCTGTACTGAGGATGAATTGCTGCGTGTGTGTATGTGTGTGTATATATATATATATATATATATAAAAAAGAATTAAAATATGAATTTTGACTTGCTTGTCTTCAAGTTCTTCAGATGAAAGAGATGTTGGTCAAAATTGTAAAGGTGAAATGAAGAACAAGCTGCCTGGGGAGCAGGAATTTCTTGTCTTGCTGACCTGAAGCTGAGATGTCTCGCGCTGCCGGGTGCTCCCTGTGCTCTGCTCACACGGGGTTGCACGCTCACGGCCCCCGGGAGCAGCTCTGCCCCGAGGTGAGGGTTCATGTGGCCGGGCAATGTGTGCTTGGGCCGCGCATCGTCCTTGGTACGTGGTTGAATTTCTTGAAATACTCAACAGCACGACCTTGCCACTGCCTTCACCTCAGTGTCACCTTCTGGGGGAAGATGTCAAAATGGTGTGTTTCAAGTTTTTTTTAACCTCGAAGTTTGAAATTCAGGTGTCCATCCTGATGAGACTGCGATGCTGGGATTCATTTGTAAGTACTACTTTGGCAAACTATTCAAGCGTGTTTCCAAATCCCATCTATTTTGCCTGAGACTGGGGCATGTTTTACGGGGCCAGGTGTCTTCGGGAGCTCTAGATACTCGTATGTATTTATCTTCCTTTTTTCCTCTCTCCTAATTGACTGCATGCAGAGTAGTCGGACGCTGGCTCTGTCTTTTGGGTGATAGCATGAAGGTGATGCCAAAATTAGTCTTCTGTTTTCCTCGTTTGTTTTGTCTGACAGCTTTGACCTTCTTTCGGTGAGGAAAACTTTAAATAAGGGCAGTAACTAACCTTTTGCTAAAGCCCAGTGCTGAGTGGGTGTGAACTGGCACCACCCACATGCAGAGGGGTGAATCTCAGCCTGACCCCAAGGGGTTGGAGGTAGCATCACCCTGGCTAACAACTCCAGCAGGGCTGTGCTCTGTGTTTCTGTGGCTGTGGGCTTTACAGAGCAGGGCTTTCCTTTTTTCCCCTCTGACAGGCTCTGGTGGAGGGAGTGTTGGCATGCCTTGGAACAGGGTTGGTGCCAAGGCGAAAGGGGCTTCGTCTGGAAGTGGAAGTGCGCGTGTGTGCAGGCGTTACAAGCAGGAAAGGAGAGAGTGTGGAGCAGAGGGGCTGGCCCTCGGGGGAGCGTGGAGTTGTAAAACTCTGGTGGTAATTAGGTAAGAGGGACTATGGTTAGCTGACCTAAGGATGCTCCAGCAACCCCCAACGGATGGGGGGTGATAGAAAGCAAGGAGGCCAGCTGGAGGGAAGCAGAGCCAGGTGGAAAAGGAAGAGGTAAGAGAGGGAGGCATGGTGGTCTCTTGGAGGTAGAAGGAAGACCTTGGGAACCAAACGGCAGTAGCAAGAGCAGCCAGGATGAGGACGGGAAGAAAGAAAGGCTGTTTGGTTCTGCTCTTCCATTCCAGTCCTTTCTGTCCTGCATTGACCAAGATTTTGGTTTTTGCAAAGCTGGCAGCTGCTTGTACAAAAGAGCAGCGAGAAGCGGGAGGAGAAAGCTGCCATGTGGCATAACGTGCAGCGACAACGTGACATGTGAATGGGATCGTATTGGCAGCTGTAATGTGCTGTTTGTTTCATCTGGCGGCCGTTCACTTGGAGGTCTGACTCGGACCGTGTCAGAACACTGCATGGATTTGCAATTATTTTCTCCCAGAGGCCCACGCTGAGTTAGGTGTGCTGACTTGCACTGTCCTATTTTTTTTCTGTCTTGGAAAATGTGTGCAGGGGAAGATAATTTGCTTATGGTTCTTGGCCCGAGTTAAGTCTTACCCGTCAAGCAAATGAAGACACAAAAATGTTTCTCGTTGGCCACGTAACCAGAGCCAAGCCTCGCTGCCACTCCCAGGCAGGAGCAGCTACAGCTGCATAGTTGCCTGCTTAGAGTATTAATGTGCAGGACCATGAATTTAATAAGCATGAAAAATTCTCCTGTGGGATGCTGCCAGGTAGCAGGGGCGCTTCAGAAGCCAGGCAGGCTGCCATAGCCAGGCGTGCGTGTTCTTCATCACAGCCCAGTGCCCCTGTGTCATCCCACCTCTGTCAGGACACCGACTGCCGCGCCGCCTGGCACAGGTTGTGTGCGCTCAGGGAGAGACCGAGTCACCCTTGCGGTGGAAAACTTCCAGCAGGTAGTTATGTGCACGGTCTTTTTGCTTGAAGTGATGGAACATGACAACCCCAGCAGACCAGACAAGTCAGATGGCAGAAATTACATAGCTGCCTGTTGACCACTTATTTTTTTTCCCCATGCTGGAACAGCTTTAAAATGAAACTGTTTGGAATCCAAGGAATTGCGTTAAAATGCTGTGAAGTGGCAGCAACACCAACCTTGCTGACGGAGCCAGGAAAAAATTAAAAATATAAGTTTCATCTCCTGGCTAGGAGTGCTTTATTTGCTGCCAGTTCCAGTCAAGAGAACATGCAAAGGTTTAAAAAACAAATACAGATGTGGTAAAAGCAGCCAGCAAAAAAATTAAATGGAACATCTGGGATAAAGTACTTGGGTTTGCAAAACTGCGCTGTAGTGATGTTGAAGGTAGTTTTAAAAGCAGCTTCAGCCTAAATGCCTCATTTAACTGGGAGTAATCTGGACTCCTCAGGCATTTGTTCTAATTAAGCTTGAACGGGTTAATTGGCTGAATTTCTAGCACCTGATGAGAACCGATTTGTAAACTGAATCTCTGCCGTTTGGTGCCCCCGTGGTCCCATCACAGGAGATGACGCCGCGGCTCCCGCTGCCCTCAGCAGACGGGGTGAACACAACTGCTGCTGTTTCTCGTTGTGGCTCAGGGCAGTTATGTTGGGCTGGGGTCGTTGGGAAGCTGTGCAGTCGGTGTTGCACTCTGAGCACTCAATTCTGTCTTTGACAAACCTTTATTTACTCGGGAGTTTCCCTGAGTCGGCGAGGCCTGCCCCCCCCCCCCCCCCCCCCCCCCCGTTCCTCAGTGTTTGCTGTTTGTAAGTGTTTTCGCCTGTTGATGTGAGTGTTCTCACGCAGTTTGTCTCCAGCTCCTGGAAAAAGTGATGTTGCAAGTGGAGGTAAGACACGGAATGAGGTCATGATGTCCGGACCCAGGGAGGCAGCTTGATTTTAGGTAAGTGCACACAAAAGTTCAGAGCAGCAAAGTGACCTCATAAAATTTCCTGGGGCTTTGGCAGCCTTATCGCTGGTGGACTGTCTGCATCTCTGTTGCTAGCACTTGGCTGCAGTCAGACTGAGTGTGGAGGAAGAGGCTGGTCAGCCCGAGTGTTGGTTTCAGAATCTGCTCCCAGTCATGCTGGCGGCAATTGTGCTTGGATTGACCTTCCCACTGCTCTTAAAAAAAAAAAAAAAAAAAAAAAAAAAAAAAAAAAGGCGTCCTACCAGATCACGAGGAGGAGTTCCTTGGTTTTGATGAATAGATTGCTTCTGACATGTTCAGCCTACCCTGTGTGCGTGCTCGCTTCAAGGGTGAGCAACCCTGACGCTGGAATCACTGCCCCAAGTCCCACCGCATCTGAAAGAGGATCCTGGAGGGGGAGGCAGGGTCCCTCCAGGCCTGGCTGGCACCACCCGAGTCCCCGCAGCAGCCCCGGGGCTGTTGCTCGATTCTCTCTTAGTTGTGGTGCCTAAACACCCGTGTGTGCAAAGCCCTCCGCCAAGGCCCGGTTCTCTGCAGGGCTGCAGCCCCCTCTATAGGCGGCCCTTCCAGCAAAATCATTTTCTCTCAGCCGGTGTTCCAAGAGGGGTTAAGCGTGCCGTCTTTCCGCAGGGACTAAGAGCGGGTGCGTGTGTTTTGTTTGCGTTTTAAAATACGCACGGAGCACGTGCATTGCCTCTTCGGTCCACGCGTGAATGTTTTAGCAGGATGTCTAATCCAAACAGTTTTGCTGCAAGCGTGGCTCTGCCAGGAACAAGATGCCTTTGGGGAAGAGCAGTATTTTAAAGTATTCAAAGCTGTGAATGTATAACCAAATTCTTGCAATCTCCTTTGAACCTAAATAATAAGATACGAATTTAAGGTTATTTTGAAAGGACGTATTTTACAGAATTGAGAGTGTACATGCAAGAGCCTTGCATCATCATGGTGTTACGGTGCGTGCTGAAAAAAATACAATCGGAAATTACTGGTTCAATGTAGCCATCAGGAATCTAACTTAGAGGGAAATCCTTCTCTTTGTATTGATCTTCCGTGCATAAAAGTGCTCAGACTAAAATGTCTTGAAGACAGGCGTGGCCGTGGGTGGCAGAGCAGGCGGTGTGCGGTCTGTGAGGAGCTGGGGAGCCACAGCCCAAGTGCCGGGGTGAGGAGCAGCATCGTGCACGGGGGCTGCGTGGGGCTGCGGAGGGTCACCGGGGAGGGCCGAGGGGGCTGGGCAGCAGGGCTCCAGGCTCTGCTCTGGCTGCTCCCGGGGGGGGCCGCGACGTGGATAAAATCAGCGGGCTGGAAGCTCTGATGGCAGTAACCATGACCACACGATTCTTCTAAAATTAATTTGCGTTTAAAGGATGTCCTAATAGACATTGTTTGGGGGGTTGATTTTTACGGGTGAGGTCAAGGCTTTTAGATGCAGGAAAAACATCATTAGCAAAAGCAGTAACAACTCTGCGTTCGGGATCAGGTGTGCGTCAGGTTTAGACGCAATGGTTTTATGACCCTGAACGTTTAAAGATTTTGCGATCGCGAATCCCAAGTTTAGTATTAAATTAGAAGACGTGGTGGGAGTTGGGGCTTGTGGCCTCTGGAGTTCTGCCTCACTGCCGGGAACCAGGGTGGGCTGCTCCCCTCCCGCCCCGGTGCGGGACGGGGCCGCGGGGTCACCGCTTTGTCATCATTGTCCTGCTGCCAGTACTGGAAGAAGGAGGAGGAGTCTGCTGGCATTAAATCACAACAGCTTTATATGCAGGTAAGGCATCGCGCTGTTGCCGCAGTAATCTTACACGACTTAATTTTGATACTTTGACATCATTATCGCATTTCCAGCAATGATGTTTCTGAAAACAGTTTGGCACAAAATATTTGTAGTTCTGGTGCCACCCAAGATGAAGAAGGGGAGGACACCACTACACTGGCACCAA